TTGAGAGAACAAAATCACCTGACTTCAAACGAGTTTCAAGACTAAAATCACCTGTCTTCAAACAAGTTTGAACATTTTCAGCTTGTATGAGCCTATGACCCCGCTGATAGGGCTAACCTTGAATGAATGTACGCATTGATGTTCTCCAACAACCTACAGCACGCTTCGGTTTGAGTTAGCGCTGCTGAATTAGGGAACTGGCTCAGTGTGCATTCATCCCTTTGAGTCAAATAACGTCAACCACCTTCTAGGTATGGCTGTTTGAATGTTCCATTCCACTTGGTGTCACTTTGCCAAATACATTCAATCTTTCTTAGCATTACTTGGAAAGATTCATTACTGCATAAACATGTCACTTTCAGCTCAATCATTTGAGTTTTTATCATATTGATATTTTATTGTTAAATGACATTAATGCAGAGTTTCATTGAGGCCATAGTCATTTTAATGAACTCTATTAATGAAAGCAATAATAATATTGTATTTGTTCTTTATTGTATGTTGATGCAAGGAACAGGATGTTCTTGCCAGTGTACCTCGTAGGGTCCAGGTTGACCAGTTAGAAAGCCATTTCTCTATTTATTTTAAAGGGGCTGGTCATGAAGTCTATTTAGTCTTGCTCATCTGTGTTACCTGCATTTTTCTTTCAACAATAGGAACCGATTGATATTTTCACGGGCTTCACAGACGAGCAGGCCATGCGGATGGCAGGCAACCTCAACTTCAAGGGTGACCTCCAGCAGCAGGTAGTTCTGAGCTTTTGCCAANGTTGCAAGAACAAAATCACCTGACTTCAAACAAGTTTCAAGAACAAAATCACGTGAATTCAAACAAGTTTCTAGACCAATATCACCTGACTTCACACAAGTTTCAAGACCAAAATCATTTGACTTCAAACAAGTGTGAATTTTCAGCTTGTATGAGCCTGTGACCCCGCTGAACCTTGAATGTACGCATTGATGTTTGAGTTAGCGCTGCTGAATTAGGGAACTGGCTCAGTGTGCATTCATCCCTTTGAGTCAAATAACGTCAGCCACCTTCTAGGCGTGGCTGTTTGAATGTTCCATTCCACTTGGTGTCACTTTGCCAAATACATTCAATTTTTCTTAGCATTACTTGGAAAGATTCATTACTGGATAAACATGTCACTTTTAGCTCAATCATTTGAGTTTTTTATCATATTGATATTTTATTGTTAAATGACATTAACCCTCCTATGCTGAAGTCACTCTTTGGGTCATTTGGTAAACACCTCAAACAAGCACAGCTGTGTTGTGTTGTGCACTGCACTAACTGTCCCTCACAGGAATATCAGATTGCACTTTTGTGCTGCCCAAGAACTGTGCTTCACTGTTTCATGTGCTTTATTGTGTAGTAAACCAAATGCAGTGAAGAGGACTGCACAAAAGACCCTGGGTCATTTTGTACTGGCAATCTACTGTGTACACACTGAACCTGTGCATGTTTGAGTTCTATATAGAAACTACATGCTGACCAGTGACTGTGGGCATTTGTGCACATTTGTGCTGTAAAACCAAAGGAGGGTTAATACAGACTTCCATTGAGGCCATAGTCATTCTAATGAACTCTATCAATGAAAGCAATAATAATATTGTATTTGTTCTGTATCATATGTTGATGCAAGGAACAGGATGTTCTTGCCAGTATACGTCGTAGGGTCCAGGTTGACCAGTTAAAAAGCCACTTCTCTATTTATGTTAAAGGGGCTGGTCATGAAGTCTATTTAGTCTTGCTCATCTGTGTTACCTGCATTCTTCTTTCAACAATAGGAACCGATTGATATTTTCACGGGCTTCACAGACGAGCAGGCCATGCGGATGGCAGGCAACCTCAACTTCAAGGGTGACCTCCAGCAGCAGGTAGTTCTGAGCTTTCGCCGANCTGAAGCAGATCTTGAGCCAAAATGCCAACTCATACATTTGGTGTCTTCTGGGGGGAATCCTGACTTCCTGTGTTTTCTGTTCATAGGCAGCCGAGCAGCTGAAAAACCTTTACAAGCTCTTCTTGGGTGTAGATGCCACGCAGGTTGAGGTCAACCCATTTGGTGAGACCCCTGACGGCCAAGGTGAGACAAACAGAGCACTAGGATACAAGAACAGTTCGGGGGGGGGAGGTTGGAAATGAGGGCTATGCCCCCTTAAATAAAAAAATGAGCAAAACAATTTATTTTTGGAAAATAATGAACTTTATTTTGGGTCTGTTTCATCTTTTTGTCCTTCAAAAAGCTAGTAAAAAGCCCCGAAATGTAGAGGTACCTCCTGAAAGTTCACAAACTGTTCCATAAAAAGTTTCCAATTTTTTTGACCCTCCTAGAAAAAGTTTTCAAATTGTGGTCAAGATTGACCGTTACTAGATTGACCGTTACTGATGCCAGTGTCTCAAAATACCCATAGGGTCAGTGGGTACCACTGTAGGGGCCTTCACACCTTGGCAATTCTCTGTATAGCTGATGTGAATTCAGGATATTTGGGCAAAATGTCTTGCTCAGTGACAAAAGCATCATTCTACCCTGTGCTCACCTGACCATAGTAATCTAACCATTCTGTGTTGACTCCAGGTACTCTTCATAGTTTGTCTCACGACAGATTCTACTTTATTATTCTCTCTCGGCCCAGTGGTCTGCTTTGATGCCAAGGTCAACTTTGACGACAACGCCGAGTTTCGGCAGAAGGAGATCTTCGCCATGGATGACAAGTCGGAGAGTGATCCCCGGGAGATTGAGGCCTCCAAACACAACCTCAACTACATCGGCATGGATGGCAACATTGGCTGTTTAGGTAAGGAGTGTGGGTCAAAGGTCAGCAGAATGTGGGTGGTAAAAGCAAAGAATGTACTAGGAAACTTAGCCTCAGCAGCAAACAGTGAAAAACTTTGAACAGAGTGGACATGTAATCCAAATCAAATCAGAAGTCTGACCATATATGGAAGTCAAGTGACATGTTGAAGTAAGGGGATGAACCATGTCTAGTCTGTATTAACCCCACCTGTGCTGAAGTCACTCTTCGGATGAGTTGCTCAGCCACACAAAGAAGCACAGCTGTGTTGTGTTGTGCACTGCACCAACTCTCCCTCACAGGAATATCAGATTGCACTTTTGTGCTGCCCAACAACTGTGCTTCACTGTTTCATGTGCAGTAAACCAAATGCAGTGAAGAGGACTGCACAAAAGAGCCTATGTCATTTTGTGCTGACAACCAACTGTATACACATTGAAGCTGTGCGTATTTGTGTTCCACATATAGAAACTGCATGCACAAGAGTGACTGCCGGCATTTGTTCTGCTAAACCACAGGAGGGTTAATTTTGATTGGTTTATGATGACTTATTGCAACCTGGAGTTTCAAAGAATCTCTTCTGTTTTGATAACAGTGGAGTTATTTCTTTGACTTTTGAGTTCAGTTGTGATAGACAAGATTATGTTCATATTTATTTTCAGAATTCAAACTTTATGCTCCAATTCTTTCATTTTGAACCACTTTAAAGACAGTCTCTTTATGAAATAGGCTGAACCGTCATCCCAGTGTGTATCACGGAAATACTGGTTTTGTTTTTGCGGATTCTGTTGTGTTTGTGTGTGCTTGGTGTATATCAGTCGTGGATAACATCCATTCACTTCCTTGGATTGGTCAGTGTAGGGAACGTTGATTAGATGACAATTGATGCCATGTACTATTTTCCGGTCACTTGAATTCAAAGCTTTTATTTTTACCAGCACGTAGATGGACAGATAGAATTGTATCAGTTACAATTACAGAAACAGTTAACGACATAAGTTCAAGAAAACAGAGGTTGTACTTTGTTCCTCACAGTCAACGGAGCCGGCCTTGCTATGGCAACCATGGACATCATCAAATACCACGGTGGGGAGCCGGCCAACTTCCTTGATCTCGGGGGTGGAGTCCAAGAAAACCAAGTCTTCCAGGCGTTCAAGCTGCTGAACTCGGAAGAAAATGTTAGTCAGAAAAAAAAACCTTCTCCCTGAATCCCTATGCAGGAAAGCAGTAGCACAGTCTTTGTGCTTGTTACTTGAATTTTCAAGGGTTTCAATTGTGAGCGATTCTCCTCGCAAAATCCTGTAGAATTTTCCAGGACTTCCTGGATTTTTCAAAATCCACCTTGAAATGTTAGAGAATTTTGTATAATGGCGGAAGGTAGAGTCCACACCATGTTTATTTTATGTTACGAGTCACACTGTATTAGCCATCATTATCTTACATTGATCATATCCCTCTTTAAAGATGATGTGCTGCTGCAGGTTCAGGCTCAATATTGGATTTTAGAGAATTTCAAAAATTTCTTGCAAAAATGCAGCAGAATTTTTTTCCAGTACCTTTACAGAAAAACTCTTCCAAAACAGTAACACTTTGTATCAGCATTTTGCTTGCATAATTTTAAAATTTTCTTTGATAACCAGGTCAAAGCCATCCTAGTTAATATATTTGGAGGCATCGTGGATTGCTCCATTATAGCAAAAGGGATCACTTCGGCTTGTCAGGGAATGGACCTCAAGGTTCCAGTGGTTGTACGCTTAGCTGGTAAGAGTAACCTTGAAGGAAGACAGATTTCTGCAATACGGATCTTATGCACGTCATACAAGACGGTGCTTTTGTTTTGCTTTAGATAGGAGGAGACTGTTGTCATTATTCATAATTACCGAAAATTGGTCACTTGGGAGACAATTCCCATAGGTCACTTGGGAGACATTCCCATAGGAACGTGCACAAAATGTTTCCAACTTTACCGTCCCATAGTTCAATATTCCTAATCCGATCTTCACCAAACTTTGCATGGTTTCCATTCAGGCCCTTATCTATCATCTCTCAAAATGTGGACACTAAAATTTTTCCTCCTTTTGGTAGTTGGAGCACTAGGGAGACATTGAACCTAATGATCGATGTCTCCCTAATGTTGAAAAATTTACCACAAAATGTCTCCCAAGTGACCTATTTGGAAATATTATTAATCTGGTTAAATGACACCAAGGATTCATCAGAAGTGCCCCAGGCACTGTAGCACACAAGCCTGAAGAAACCTATGGAGAGGAGACAATGGGAAGCAGTTACAGTTTTAGGGGTGGGAGGAAAACCTCAGAGGAGTATTCTAAGTAAAACCCACAAATCAGGTAGGGATTGAAAACTCAATTCACATGTGGACCAAGCCGGGAATGGAACCCAGACCGCAGAGGTGGAAGGCAAGGAAAGAACATTTACGCCTACCTGACGCCCCTGACTATTTGTTCATGAAAACCAAAATGCTAAACTGAATCCCTCAGATGTTGGAAATGTAAACGTTGCATACAAGAGGGATAATGTGAAACTCAGTTTTAAAACCTTTCTGGTCATTGTTCGTTTTTTGTGCACAGGTTTCAATGTGGTGTCGGGTTTCAAGATCATAAAGGACAGTGGTCTGCCAATCGAGACCGCCGTGGACTTCGAAGAAGCTGCAGTCAAGGTTGTGGCTAGTCTACAGTAACAGTCACTCAGTGGACTGATCAGAGAAGCCTGATCTAACTGCGACAGTCAATCACATATCCTACAGTGTGTACTCATGCTAGCGGACATTTCACTCCGAAAGAATGTAAAATCCTTGGGTAAGGGTTGCATTCACAGACATTGCTAAGTTTCCCCTGCAGTCGTTTATCAGCCATCAGAAAGCGATAAAATGTTCTAAAAAATCAAATGTAGCAGGGAAATATTGAAGCATTTATTTAGAAAATACTTCAACTATGTCAAACCAGTCGCATAGGGTTTGTGCACAGGGTGTCAAATGATGTCTTTGCATGGAACTCTTTCCAATCCCTGAAAAAAATTACGCCATTACAGCCATTGTAAAGGCACTGCAATTCCATGATACTAGATTTCAGATTTTTTTCTAAGTCTCGTGCATTTCGATAAGCCATGCACACCAGTGAATTGTCTCCTCTAGAAATCCTACATTTCCAAAACTGCAAGTCTTTTGAGGCTCAGCACTGATGTCAAACTTGTGATTTTTAAAAAACATAGTATTTGAAAATTACCGTACCGCCTAAATCTGCATATTACCTTCTGTACTATTTGGAGTAACTCCAGGATTCTGTGCCTGTTAAGATTTATTTATGTATTTTACGCCCCAACTAGAGCATAAGTCCCAATTATAGTTGGGCCTGTCCCAACTAGAGTGCTACAGGTGGGCCGGCCCAACTACAGGAGAGAGGTCCTGTGTGCATGTGCCAAAGTCATATTGTTTACAAATGTCAAGTCATCGATCATAGGGCTAGATGAACAGATAAAGTGCCACACTTTAGATGAATTGTGTCAAGTGTGAGACACATTGACTTGGATAATGTTGAGACATTTGCCACAGACATTGGTCAACAGTAGTTGGGCCAGCCCAACTGCAGCACTGCAGTTGGGACTGCCCCAACTATAGTTGGGACTTATGGTATAGTTGGGGCGTAACATGTATAAATACAGTGCAACTACAGTGAAGTACAGGTGTTCATGGGTTTAGGAGCCAGTTACAAATTCCTCGTTCATGTCCTTCAAACTTCAGATCCCTGCCCAATCCTAGTCAGACTCCATTAGATCTCAGAGGCTGTCAAATATTAAGATGGCGCACAAACACACAGAAACCTCTCTGTAATTTCCTTTCTTTCTTTGTAAATCTCTAATAAAAGATCATATTCCTCTTGTTTTTGGAATGGCTCTTTTTGTCACATCCAAGCTGAAAAATTTATCTTGTCAATGAAGAATCTGTGTCCGAGTTAGTCAAGGAAGATTCTGAAAATAGTTTTATGACTCAAAGCCAATGTCGAATAAAACTGAAGTTTTAATAAGCCTTTTGCAAGTTAAATGTGAATAAAATGTGGTATACCGAGTTATGTGATTGCACATAAAATAATTTGAACTCTCCAGGCTAAAGACACTGTTACTATACCTCGTGATTCAGGGCAAGCTTTCGCTTAGCGACCACCATCTCTGGATTGGACTGGTTCCTTTGTGCCGTTCTTATCCATTGAAAATAGTGTATTGGTGCAAGGTGTCTCTTACGTAACTAAGCAAAAGCTTGCCCTAAATCATGAGGGGTAGCAATGGTGTTTTAGTATGGAGAATTCTAATTGTTATGTTCACGTGAATTTAAAGAACTCAGTGAACCAGAGTTGATTCAAATTTAACCTCCAAAAAGTTCATTTGCCATGTGTTTACAGTTAGATGTGATGTGACACTGACTCAAGGAGGGTAACAGTTTCATTTGAGCAGCTACTTTGTTTTCAAAGGATGTGGTCATATGTGTGATCACCTTTTATCAAGTTTTAGTTTGGTTCTGGAACATTACAATTTTTCTTTCTTTTTAAAGGTTGTATTTTGATAAAGAAAATGAGTGACCATGTAGATGGTGTTGATAAATTTGAAATTGTTAATATCATGTATGTACATGTAACCATGCATTATGATTTGAAAAATAAATTAGATGAAACCAAATATTTCCTGTGTTGATTTCCTCATTATTATATGTATTAACTGTTTAATTTCTCCACTGCTTAATGTGAACCACCACCGTCCCTAAAAGAGCTGGGCTATTTCAGACCATCTCAAAGCTGGGGTAGGGGGTGGCCCCTTAAGAACTTGGCTGTCCCATGTCTTTTTTTTTTCAAACTTAGCATGTTTAGTTATTTTCCCCCTCAATGAAAACTACCAACACTGGTTCTGTTCCACAAAGGATTGCCTATAACGTGCTGTCAGATTTTCATTAATCACAGAATTAAAAAAGGGGGTAAAGTAGCTTCCATGTGTCTGTTGGACTGTGTATTATTGTTATAAAATGTTCAAACTCATGAAAAAGGATTCAACGATAGTGAAGATGTTCGAAATAAAAAAAAATTGTTGCAGATTTTGTCAAACCATGGAGGTAGGATTTTCTCTCGGGGTGGTTGTGATATCTCTTAGTATTAAGGGGTTTCCCCCAAGATTTGCAAGCATACATTGGTAGTCAATGTTTTGAAATGAAAAGGTGAATTTGTAATATTTGATGAAGCCGAATTTTGAAAAGGATATCCTTGTAATATATCAAGCTCTGATTAAAAGAGTGCAGTAGGAACTGCCCTCTGAAAAGGAGTCCAGTGAAATTTAATCTTCAACGTGAGCTATCTTGCCAAGAGAGGGCGCTGGTAACCGGCCAAAACAACAACATCAGCCCCAGGCCTCGCGTGGAGTTGGTTTCTTCTCCTCCAATCAAGGTCTATGCATATCAACTATGGCGAAGTGTGAAAAGTTGAGTCCGCAAGGCACACCTTACTCAAGTTTAGCTCATTTTGTGAACGCAGATGGACAGTACATTTACTGCAAGTACTGGGAACCACCCACCGGCACACCTGTTAGGTTAGTAATAACCGGCGATAGGCCTTACCCGAATAAACACTGTTCGGTAAGAACACTAAAAGCCTGTACCGATTCAATTTCCCAGGCAGCTTTGGCAGCCCGAGCCGGGCATACCGGGCCACGTATGCCATGTACATGTAGGTCACCGTGTACACGGTCAGATGGTTAGACCATTGAACAAATAGAGCAAGGACACAGACGCCAGTTTTACCGGAACGACCATTCCTCCATGGTGCATGTACGACTACAAATATGCATGACATGACTGACGTCCAGCATATCATTGTCGATAAAGTCCTCCTACCACAGCAACCGTTTTAGGCCCATAGTTTACACTTTTTTAGAAATTGTTCTTAACCTTTACATAGAGCTAGCTGAAATTTCACTCACATTTTCCTTACTATGTTTGTAATTATCCATTTGCTTTTTCCAAGATGTATTTTTTGTGTAATATCCATTTGCTAGTTCATGTACATGAGAATACTTCCAGAACTGTATGGTACAATCCTGAACATTTCTGGAAGTATGTGCAATGAGTTGAGAATAAGCGAATAATGGCATTCTTGCAAGAAGTTCCAACTTCTGGTATTTGTGAAAACATAGACGGCGACTTCCAAATAAACATGTTGTAACTTGTAGTTGTGACACTACAAATAAGCTTTGGGATCTACATGTACATAAAGTTTTGGATTCCATCAGAGCTTCAAGGAGCTTGAGTACCGGCTATCATGTAATATGCACACTGCTTCAAATGCATGTGGACCTACATGTATGTTCAAGACAAGTGGCATCTACATGTACATGTATAATTTCTCTTTATTTTTTTAGAATCCTAGGTTCAATGTTTTCTTGCCACAGATGTTTACTTTTTCTCTTCTTTTGTAGATTTGTACAATGTACTGACTCTGCAAGATTTTACTTAAGGGTAAAAAAATCCAACGTTCATTCATTACTGACTGGTCCGGTTCCTTTTTCCAGTATTGGTAGACTGGTGTGTAAACTTACACGGTAACAAGTCTAAAATTTTGTAACAATTAAAATGTTGATTTAAATCAGTTTTTTTAATCACTTGATATAAATCACAATTTAAACCTTTGCTTTAAATGAAGGGGATTTAAATCAGCCAGTCATGTTGTGGAGTGATTTGAAGAGGACATTGGCAGTAAAATGTGAAATTTTTACCAAGCTCGCAGGCTGTATTTGTTCAGCTTGTAAAATTCAAAGGCGCAGTCTATCGTTTGCAGTTGTCCCGCAAGTAGCTGTAGAAATTATACTGTATCTATGGTTTATTAAAACTCCCTGTGAAATGATTCTTTCTGGCAAGTTGTCACTTTGGAGATAACTACCGGTATGAAAGAAGGCCATTTCCAATGTGTTTGAAATCGCCGAGAGAAGTTACTGATTTCATTTGGCATAGCACGTGCAGGCATTGACATGACACATGCACATACTGTATGTGCATTGTTATTACATGTACAATTGGTTGGTTCAGTGCCCAGCACAGCATAGATGCATGTAGCTGAATAAGGACGTGTAATTGATGCCGATTTCAGGTGCAATTCAAACATGATTTGACAACTTTCGATTTGAAATCGAGATCCTACAATATTGGCAAAATGCTCTATCTATACATGTAAGTACACATCACTTCATTTACCGAGGTGAAATTTTGTTATTCGTTTAGTTGTTTGGCACTTTTGTTACCCCAAAAGAACATAGCCCACAATTGGCAAATGGTGGACTGCACCTTTAACCCTAACCTTCCCCAACCACACAAAATTAAACAGTAGTAAAGTGTTTAATTCTGTGGGGATAGGTGTGGCAGGACCATAACAGCTGGCTTTTGCATTGGGTTTGGCATACCTCAGAAAAACAAAGTCCAACAGCCTCTGTGCACACTTTGTGTGAATGGGGAAGGTTAGGGCCAGCAACCCTTGGGGGTTAGGGTTAAGCAAAACATATCAGGGACCAGTTCACAGTCAAATACTGGTACATTGCCATTTGGTCTTTCAAATCACTAAACTCCCAAATTCATCCAAACTACACATTTTGAGTTCCATTTTCCATTGAAATTTTTTTCACTCTACAGGGCCTTGCTGTGCCTTGTCCATGGCATGGGTGAACATTGTGAACGGTACAATAAATTAGCTCAACAGTTCAACAACATTGGAATTCTGGTTTTTACACATGATCACAGTAAGTGTCTTTCTGTATAGGGTTTCTGACGAGATTTCAGTGTTTGCTATGTAAATAATTTTTTTGCTTTTGTGTTGCATAAAAAACAGGGTTCTGATCAGATGTCTAACAGATAAAAATGTCTTCTGCCTTGGAAGTTGGAAGGATACCAATTTGATTATTTTGTACTGCTCTGGCCATCTACAAAGCTTTTACCTGTATATGAAGCCTAGTAAGCCCCCCCCACATCCCATGAAGCGTACTTGATTGCGTCCCCTGCTCTTACATGTACATGTACTCGTGTGAATGCGACTGGGTATGTGACACTCACTTGAAGTCTCATGCTAAGTTGGGCCTCACCCAGGTAACCGATCCACTGAGCCGATCACTTTTGAGAAGTATCCCACAATATGATGCAAAAACCTGGTGGCTTAGTCAAATATTGCAAAGGAAAGTTGACTGCGTTGTGAATAATAAGCAAGTTCGCGGTGATGTATATATACGGTATGTATGTATCATCTTGTCCACAGGGCAAAAAGAATGTGCGTTGTTAGATAACTTTATCGAGTTTTTGATAGATCTGGGCAGTCTATGCTGTGGAGAGAAGAAAGGATTAATTAAAACTGATAATTGAAAACACCGTTAACTGATCTACCTGGCCAATCAAACATCAGTAATATGATTCAAGTTCCCAGCATGCAGCTCTGTCACAGCGCCATCTTCCGCACAACTGTGCGCAGCACTAGTGTGAAGTCTGGTGTGGCCAAAACAGAGTTTCTCATGGTTTTGCGTGAATCTGTGTGACCACATAGATTGGTCCGAATGTTTCATGCCACATGATCTGCAATTTACCAATCAGATGACTGGCTTGTACAATGTATGAAAATACAGTAACCAAGTTGCATTAGTCTGTTGACCATTTACACCGAGATGGATGATATTTCATTGAGGATAATATTTTTGTTTATCAATTGATTTATTTAGTTGGCCACGGCAAGAGTGAAGGGTCGAGGGTTGATATCAAACATTTCCAGTTCTTTGTCCGTGATTGTCACCAGCACATCGACTTGATGAAGTCCAAATATGAGGACCTTCCCGTCTTCCTGTTTGGACATTCCATGGTAAATTTGCAGTGCAGATAACAGAGGACATTACTCCCTAAAACCACACACAATTCCTATGAGGTCAAGTGGTATACATGTACGTGTACATATATACAGCAGTGCCTCGTGTGTGCATTCATGCTGGCATGGTGAAGTGTGGCCAATGGGTCACTTTGTATGTATTTCTCTGTGGCTGTTCATGCTCCTTTGCACACTCTAATTCTAATTTCTGAGCCATTTACATGTAGCAGGGATCCGTAACCCTAATACTCCTCAGTCCTCCAACAGGTGAAGGATTGAGGAATGTTAGGGTTAAAACACGAAAAAGTGAACACTGTGCTGTAAACCCACAGTGCGATTTGTTTACTTTTAATAACAAAGCAAGAAGATCAAGTGCATCAAAGGAAAAAGGGGGCAGCTGAGACAAACTAGAAGACGTGGCACAAGTGTGGACAGAGTCACTTGGGGTACAAAAAGATCTGAAGATCTGCTAAGCAATTCAATCGGTCATACATGTACATGCAGTCTAGTACATGGTACGTAAGTCTTGACACAGGTAAATCACAGGTGATTCCAGTGACAATCTTATGCCCTGTCACAATCCAGTCAATCAGCTTGTGACTTAATTTTGGACTAGGTGCCTTGTGTTTGGTTCAAGATAGACCTTTGTTGGGCTTGTGAGGGGGTCAGCCACTACACTGATCCTTACACATGAATGCTGTCTTCACGCAGGGAGGGACCATAGCAATACTGGTGGCATATGAGAGGCCGTCACTCTTTACCAACACCGGAGTCTTGCTGAGTGCTCCAGCCATCAAGGCTAGCCCAGAAATAGCCACTCCCACGAAGGTACCGCAGGACCAAGGATTGACTTCAAGTCCCATTTTCTTCCAAGAAAGATAAATCATTTGATTTGCCACAAACACCGTATTTTTTTGTTGGTTTGTATTTTGACAGATGCATATTTCTTAAAGCAAGTTCAGGATCACCCTTTAAAAAAGTTATATTCTGTGGAATATTTAAGTGCAACGTTTCAAACTGGTTTTTAGCTTGACCAGATTTCCAACCAAACCCAGGAGTTTTTGTGTTGTGTTGTTTTTAAGCCATTTTGAAATTCTTACAAATGGGACATTTGTTAAAGTTTCCTTCTCTTGGAATATTTTATGTACATACTTCCTGTTTGTGTTCAGGAATAATTTATGATTTTGCAAGATAAACAATTTAAAAGGAAAGAAGAAATGTGGCATTTGCTAAGAGGGAAAAAGTTTGAATGTTTACTCATATCTCTGTTGTATTCCAGCTTTTCCTAGGCAAGATTCTGGCCAGTATTTGGCCCCATGCTCCCATGGGTCAGCTGGAATCCTCCTCAATGAGTAGGGACCCTGAAGTGGTGAGTTGCAGCCGAAAATTCACAAAAGTTTGCCTTTTTTCTCAGTGCTAAGAACAGTTCACAAGACCAGAATGTAATGTCCGGTGCAGAGAATACTGCATTTGTCTCTACAGTTCGTGAAAATAATCATTATTCTGTCAGTTCCATGTGGCAGAAATATAAATTCTCACTCCATAGTAAAAAGGATGTTTCTCAACGGTATCGTCCGCTACCTTGTAAGTTTGTCCCTTGCAGATAATGTACATTTTCAGTTTTGCATTTTTGCGCGCCACATTAAAGATGCTCCCAGTCATTGGTTTGTTATCACAAACATGTTTCTGCATGCCCTGGAACACTGACTCTCCAATTCTTCACCTGATTCCTGTGCCCAAATTCTGGCAGAAATAGTCCCCCTCACACAAACACATTCCTGGATAGACAGCACTTTAGGAGATCATTTTATGTTGTACTTGTTTAACAAAAGGTTGCTTATGTTGTTTTATTCATGAATATGCATGTATATTGTGTTTTTACTTGATAGTCAGATAATTTTGATTAATTTGTCCTTGGTTACTTAACCTTTGCAAAGTCACATATTGTATTTTGTAAGTGAAGGTTTGTATCATTCCTTTTATGCCACTGTTTTTATCACACCTGGTATCAAATTCCATAGTTTTTTAAAATCATGATCAGTAAGAGGATCAAATTGAGAAGGGATGTTTAAAAGAGGATAGGGGCCAGGGGTGATAATGGACTGAGCTGAAAGGGAGATACATCATTGCTGTAAGGCTCTGAGCCAGTTTTATTTATTAATTAGTTTAAAACGAACACCTTTATTCCCATTTTATTATACATGTACATGTAAATTCCTGTTTGCTTACAAATTTAAACTTTAAGAGCCAAATTTCATATTTTTCCAAAGATTTGTTCCTCAGTTTTCACTTATGTGTTGTGAAACACTCCTCTGGCCATGTGTTTGGTGTGTGCCTGCCTGTGCAGCACGAAAATCTCTTTACATGGAAACTGAGAAGTGCAGCGTCATCCGTAGCAAGCATAGTCTTCATCCCTGATGTTTTTATCCCTGTTTGGTAGGTCAAAGATTACGAGACTGACCCCTTGATCTTCCACGGTAAGATCAAGGCCCGCTTTGCTGTCCAGACGCTGCAGGCGATGGAGAGGCTTGGGAACGGGCTGCCTGACATCCGATGGCCATTTCTCATCCAGCATGGCGACCAGGACAAGCTGGCAGAAATCTCTGGCTCCAGGCTCATGTACGAGACGGCGCCCAGTGAAGACAAGACATTGACAGTGAGTAGGCACAGTGCATCTTGCTGTCAAATTGTTGATAGTGAGCCAGGTTGAGATAGTGACTGTGCACATGTGTGTCTGCGCGTTGAGATCCAACAAGGTCAACTTCTATTTCCCAAATTTCAAAATTGCATCCTACATACACACATAGTACCAACACGATTTCACCTTAGATGTAGACTGTTTGATGTCTTCCTAATCTTTTTAATTCACATAACAGATAATCTGGACTTTTTGGTCTTTTTCCAGCTTTCCAGTAGCGGAAATGTACTAGGTTGTTTTGAAAGTCTGAATAACAGAGAGCGAACAGTAGAAAAGCCGCAATGGATGTAATATTGAGGCACTTATGGTGAAATAGGGTGGGTAATTATAGGGTTTTAGTCGTCTTGTGTAGCCCTACTCTCCAGCCCTCATTTATCCTGCTTATCTTCCGTGAGCAATTTCAGACAGGGTACAAACAAAACTTTGAAATACTGTACATGAAAGAGAAGAACCAAACATCAAAGGCGAGACCTCTCAGATGTGAGGACAGCGTTTTATTTACAATTGAAATATGAGTGGAGTATGTTTCACAGGCTGGCTGAAGCTATCAGAAATGTAATCAGAAATGTAATTACATTGAAAATAAGAACACAAGCTAATTCTGTTAGCACAGCAGATGTTGAAAGTTACTCTGCCATGAAAAATGAGCCTGAAAGTGAGCCGTTGATGTATATCTGTTTGTCAAGATGTTAATATTTAGAGCCTGTCTAGTAATATTTCTGTGACCAGTAGACAAATGTCTGCATGTATTTTGCCATTATTGAAAGGTATTACATGCATCTGTGTTCTCAATAATATGGATGTGTGTCCTTATAATGAGCAGAGATATTTATGAGATAGAGATCCATAGATTCATGCTTTAAAGGTTTTTCCTCAAACAATTGTCAGTATGTAATCAAATCTATATGAGTATGGATAAAGCCACCACATAGTGGAAAAGTTTATCAAAGTGAAATTTATACCACATCAAAGTTCCGACCGCCTTTTTCTCAAAATGTGGCATTTTCACCAAGGGTTTTTGCAGATCACATCACATACACCCACAGATCGTACTTTGCTCTTAAAAAAAAATCACCTTCAACTTCTCGTTTTCTTCTCCCCTACTTTGTTTTCCTGACACCCCTAGGTGTACGAGGGCTTCTACCATGAGCTGGACAAAGAACCTGGCGGGGATGGAGAGAAAACGATCCAAGAACTCTTGGACTGGGTCTTGCAAAGACTGCCCAGCCAGTGAAGAAGTTCCCTTCTTATCCACTATTCAGATCTTTCCTTGGAACCTTAATGCACACAATACACACCTCAACTTGAAACCATTACTTGCCAGATCTCAAAGGCTCTCGCATGAGAGCCTTTGCCCTATTTTGTCCATGTGACGCGACCTTTACCTGTTCAAACATTTTAACAATACAAAATTGTTTCAGACCGTTTGCAAACCAAATTTTAAGAGATGGTCTTGTATTTAGTTTGTCTATCCTGCACGTTTATTTCATTCAGAAACAGCATCATCTCTCACAGTATTAACTGCACTGAGCACAAAAAGTACCTCAGTACTTGTGTATGTCTCACAAGCAATCTAAACATTGAAGGCACTCTGTATTGCACCAAAAAATTGGAGATCTTACATCAGTATTTTTGCGAGATACAAGTCGCAGCCTACATGCAGTGTAAATATATTTTTTCTCCAGAGAGTTAATGCCCACTGCAGATACCAGTAAAGTTGTAATTACACGTAATGTATTTTGAATTTAAAAAATTAACTAGAAGAGTTATTTTTGGGCTTTAATATTCTGAAACCAGCAGCAACATGAAATACCGACAGTTACTCAAGATTTACTTTTCTCGATATCTCTAATTTTCATATGCATTTTATTTTACCCTTTAAAAGGTCTTTACCATTTCTTTGTAGTTACACATAATGTATTTTGTACTAAAAACACCTAGCTAGCACATACACTTGAAGTAAAACTGAAGTATTTCTGATCTGCAATATCCTGAAACTGACACAACAAGAAATATTAACAGTTACTCTTTACAGTTGAAATCTCCAATTTTCAAATGGCCCTATTTTACTTTATAAAGGGCCCTTACCATTTTTTAAAAAAATCAACAAAGTTTTAACAGAAATACAAATTTCTTTTATCATCTAGCAAAGTATATATATATATATTTCCTTCAGAATAGTATCTTTATATTTTTTTCACAGTCATGAATCCACTCAGGTGCCTCATAACATATACTGAAGAAAGATAAGTTGAGGAGGGGCCCTACCGGCGTAGCATGACCAACAGAGTATATGTATTTATCTAGCTTGTCTATACCTCCTGTGGACTGCATCAGGTGTATTGAGTTGATATTAATGAAATATAGAAAATGGCACGATTATACTATACAGGCGTGCAACTTTTCCTCGGATCACCTGATTTCCTCATTTTTCACTTCACGCTCGTGCCATTGAAAATTGAAAACCACCATACAAAGTCTTGTAAAGATTGGAATTTCCTCGTTTTTGTCAAAGTCCGTGTTGCATGCCTGACTATACAATTAGACAGCACTGTTGACATAAGTGATGGATGTAAGTATGAGAATGATTTGAAGTAAGCAACTTACTGGTCAAATTTGATGACCATGATAGAACAAGGTGTGTGACTGTCTGAAATGGTATTGAGTGAGTGCTCGGTTCAAAACCACACCTGTGGGCTGATTAGGAAGAGATGAAAGCGTAGTTAGAAAAACAGTGGGAATAAACATCTATTCGACACTTGTATACAGTTTTGGGTTACTTGTGTGTTAAATTTTTTCAGTGTATTTTGGCGTAGAAATCTCATTCTTCACCTAGATGCTAAATATTTGTGCGATTATCTCACATTGTTGTAGAAGTACCATCTAGCATAAAGAGAACTGGTCAATGACAATCGGTACTCAAATTGTTGGACAATATTTTCCTAATGGTTCAAGAAATGTGCCAAATCACAGCAAAATTTTCTTAGAACCATTGTTTTCCAAGTTTCTGTGTGGACATAGACACAAAGAACATTCACAAGATTGTATCTGGACATGAGTGGACAGGTTTTTGGGATGTTTGATGTGGACATTAATGCCAAGTTACAGAAATCCAATTTTAACAAGGTCACGTCTTCCAATTTCAGAGCTTGGATGTACAGTACTGTTCGGGTGCCAGTTGAAATGTAGATTGTTGAAATCTATTAGAAATGGTTTTGGGGTGTTATATTTGAGGTAACTGTATAAATCAGCTTTGTTTGAAAGAACTATATCAAATGACATGTGAATGATGTGATGTTAGTACTTGCTGTCTGTGCTGATATCAGATAGGATTTGGCGACTTTATTGCTTGATAATTTTTCTTCTGACAAACACTCTTTAATACTTTGGATCAATATATATTTTTGAAGGAGTTTTGAGAATCCAGAAGTAGTTCTTTAGGATTTTGTGCACTTAAGTTTATACCTGTGAACACGACTTAGTATGTCTTATAATAACTTCCACCAGTGCCTTTGTAAATTGTATTTTTTGAACATCTGCACAACTTAATACATAAAAACCAAATGGAGCAATTCACAGTACCATGGGCCACAAAATGTCTCTTCCTCTGGAGGTCTTTTACTGGCTCATTGGTCCACATTAAGAACTTGACAAGCTATGATTTATGGGTCACTACAAGTCAAGGAACAAGATACATTTGAATATTTAAGGCATCCCGTGCAGTGACAAGTATTGGGGATACATGTTTTTCAAGATTTGATTGAGAGACTCCTGGCAAAACGTGATGTTTTATTAGAGTCGCTTGTTAATGCTTTATGAAAAAGAGTCAACTTTCACTTGTTTGAACCATCTAGTGACAGTTTGGGATTATTACAAGTCACTTCCAATATTTTTTTCATGAAGTCTGATCCTGTGGAGATATAAAAATTCACGTTTTGTTGTTAACTTAGTCGCTTTGAGTCAAGCAAGGACAAATCCCAAACCAAAATTTCAGGGAAGAGACAATTTTTTTTGGGGGGGGGCAAAAAGTTAATTTCCTTAAATGGCTCCTTTGAGGGGTGTGGTTAACTTTGGTGGCTTGTGGTTGTAGGAAAACAGCTTTAGAGGCATTTTAGAGGTAGGATTATCTCAAGCCAAAAGTAGGGAAATAGTTAGGACACCAAAAAATCGAACTTACAATAGTGTTCATAGTTCACAAAGTGTAATTTCACCAAGGTATCTCGACACAAGAAGAAACAAACCTGTGTACTTGCAAGTGCCCTTGAAATTCATAAATTTCCAGATTTTTAGCCACTCAGCTCGCAGCATGTTTTTTCCTTTATGACTTTCACAGACAGGGTCTTGAATGCTTTCTTTTGACATTCATACTCTCGCTTTTCTCAGATTTTGCCTCCTGTAGTGACCTTTGTATCTTGTCATATTTGTATATGGTCTTTTTCAGTCTTACGTTTAGAAGGAAGTGTTTCAAGTTCAAAGTTTAAATCGTGGTCTCAGTCAGATTGTACCTCACATCCTTTCAAATATTTGCAAACTCGACTGGAAGCTTCCACGATATGAACTGAATGTTGCTTATCAGTTTTCAGTTTTCAAAGGGGCCATCTTTTGAAGTCCATCTGCATTGCATGGAGCATTTTACACTTTGTTCCCACAACCTCATTCCTTTTTAGGTAATGACGTTAGTCTGCTTACAGTCTACAGAGTCTTGCACAGCTGTACTACAACTGTTTTAATCTGGAATAAAATTGAAAGTGGTAGACCTTACGTGTCTTGAAGCAAACATTCTTACAGGGTTGAGACATTTTGTATGAGAAATCTGCACAGAACGGCTCTCACAGCACGTAACTTTTCTGTCATTTTTATTTCAATGTGTAGGGATATTGCATTGTGTACAGATGCTTGTTACACTCGGTGAACGAGTATGTGATTTAATTATTGACAAATCATACAAAAGCCATTACTATATGGTGACACTGTGCATGTTAATGTGGGGCGTACGTACACTTCCATTCAAACGCCCAATCAGTCAAGGTGATTAAACAAATACTCAGTCTGGAGAATTACCATATTTGGACAGCCTGTCGCATCTCAAATTTCGCACAATCTGACCAATCACAAGGCTTGTTCTAGCAGCCTGCGACGAATTGTGCTCGTGTTGTCATGTTACGGGATGCTTTTCTGAAATGTTGCAGCATATGGAACAAAAAACACTTTAAAACAAAAAAATTTCAATTGCAAAAATTTAATTGGCTGTGCAAAAAATCCGCCCACAGACACAAACTAGAAGTTCTAAAACACGTTTGCATTGAAGGAATTTAAAATTTGTCATTGCCAACTTGAGAAATTTAAAGTTGAATTTGGACAAAAATTGCTGCATCAGCAAAGAAAGGTCACTCTGCCCATATGTGGTAATACTCGAGACTGATATTAACCCTCCATGTATAAGTCAGTACCACCACCGTCAGGATGTCATATTCTGGTTACCAATTACAACTAGTCTCTACTTTATGGTTGCAGCATTACAAACTTTAACTGTTACCTTCAGTGTCTCTCTGTATCAATGGTAAATAATGTCGTGCTAAAAGAATAACACATTGCATCAGCCTGTAAAACTCAATGTTTCTGCATAAATAATTTGATTCACATAAGTAATAGTACTTAAGCAGAAGACCACAGTGGATTTACACACTCAATTCTCAATAAATCTGAAAAACACACCAGTATCACAAAGGAAAACGCTATACTTTGTTTAAAAAAAAATCGAGTTGCTTGTTGAGTTTTGTAGCCTCCCCCCCAAAAAAAACCAAAAACTAAATGCCTTCGAAAGTAAAATGAAATACTTCGGCAAAATTAGCACAAATCTGTATCAGTGAAAAATGGAGGGTATTCTGGTACTGCAAGAATTAACTACCAATCTATTATTCATTTGCAAGTCATTTATCAGCAGTAACATTCAGCTGCTAAATCACTGTTCATCTATCCGCTTTCCAGTCCAATCCCACAAAGTTCTGAAACTTCTTAAAAATGAAATTCTCCACACGATGGGCATGTGTAACTATTTAGTCCCAAAACTACACTGCATGTTTGGCTGCTGTTGGTAATCCTATGGATCAGTTGAATTCCATCATCTGAGAGCAAGAACATTCAAAAATTAAATTGGGATGAATTCCAGCTGATGACAACAGTAAAAATTCTATGCGTAAATGTCTTTGTATCAGGCCCATACAACGAACCAGTTTGGTAGTCCAACTGCATGTGCTCACAATGATGCGTGCTCGAGGTCATTTGGACGCGCGTGCGTGGTCTACTCTTTCAGCCCTACGTGGGCTCATCACGTGTGTGCCTTGTTCCTGAATAACTTTGCTTCTTTGAAGTACCAAACTGTTTCGCTGTATTCACAATAATTCTCGACTCGTCATTAGACAGAGCCACACAGTTTTGAAGTTCTACATCCCCAAGCCAGGGCCGTTTTCTAATACTCAACTTTGGCTCCGTCTCAGGCTTCAACTGTTTTTTCCTAGCTGACTTTTAAGCTGTAAGCACAGTAATCAGTCTAATAGTACCACAGAACATCAAATAAGATGCAAGAGAACCAAAAATTACAGTATTCCAATGTAACTAAACGCTTCAGGCCCACAATTGGGGATTGGTTTGGAAACAAAGTCTGAGATGGAGACGAAGTTGAGTATTGGAAAACGGCCCAGTTTAATTTCAACATCACTTCAGTTGAATGTCTCAGACTGAACTGAGGCAATGATTTTGTGGTGAGGATGAGCTTGCCTGTTCTTTGACATTCCTCAAATAACTCTTTTTGTCTTTTTAAAAAATCAGGTGGATTAATTTCACAAGACTTTTGTCCAAGTAAGAATTTCTGTGAACATTCTACTTTTCAGAGTCAAATTATAATTATATAAAACAGAAAACTGCTAACATTCAAGACAGTGTTGTATTCGAGTTCATCACAAGTCCCTGTAAGTTCATCACAAGTCCCTGTAAGTTCATCACAAGTCATTCAGTCTTAAGCCCATACACAAGCTAGGCAAAGAACCGTGACAAAAGCATTTTTTGTCATTGTTGACCCTGTTACTTATGCCTTGTCTTGCGAGGGGACTTGTGAAGGGACTTGTGAAGGGATTTGTGACTGAACTTGTGAAGGGACTTGTGACTGGACTTGTGACTGGACTTGCGAGGGGACTTGTGACTGGACTTGTGAGGGGACTTGTAACTGGACTTGTGAGGGGACTTGTGACTGGACTTGTGAGGGGACTTGTAACTGGACTTGTGAGGGGAATTGTGACTGGACTTGTGAAGGGATTTGTCCAAGGACTTGTGATGGACTCGAATACGACATGATTCAAGAAGGGTGTACAAGCTATAATGTGGAAGTTCAAGCATAACAAATGTCATAGAAATGTCTAGAAAATAGTGAATTTGATTATAAATACAAGAGAGTGTAATGTTTATAATTCTTTGCTCATATTTTCTAAAATACTGAATGATTTCTCTTAAATCACATTGCATGAATCATTCCTCAGCTGTACTTCGAGTGAAAGAGCACAACTGAGTATAAATATGAATTCCAAGTTAATATTTACAACTGTAAAAAACTGCCAAATGCTATACAGAATTATTATTTACAAGACAAGAATTAGTGGGATATCTGGCAAAAAGATCGCGTCATGCATCTTGCTTACATATCTAACTCCTACAAAAGAATGTGTAAAAAATAGTTTCACACCAAATCACGCTGATTAAGTTGATCAACGGTACCATAAAGGTAGTCTTATAACGCCTGCACATGCTAACATTTTCCAATGTTAAATTAAGTATTTTCAAATCTCTGAATTAAAACACAAATCCCCGTTTTATAACAGAGATACCAGATGTACAGTAAGAAAAACTCCAGACGGGTTGGGTCCAGCAATCAACAGATGTGCCATATACCATCAATGACAACACAGCTCACTCCCTGCCAGAAAATTTACGGAATCGCATAATGTTGATTTTTCACAAACCACGAGCGCCCACTTAGTGTATTTTATTTTCAAGAATTGAACTTTTCTTCATTTCCAAAGTTAAGTGGTTTTCAGATAGAATTCTTAACCTAAAAAGTAAATGGACAGAGCAAATTTGTGTAAAAGCCATTCCGGCATTTTACTCTACAGTACAGTATATTTGCTGCATACTTGCATGTCAGTTCATCAAAACCAAACTTATTCCACATCAGTGTCTGTAGTGTGCATGCACACCCAGCCACTCATTTTTAGAAACCAATGTTGTTTGGCGGTTTATTATCAAGTATCTACACACAGTACTAGCACTTTCAGTACGTTATGGTGGTGACCATACCTTCAACACATGCAAATTTGAACTAATGTTCAGACTTGACAGAAACGGACACAACCCAAAAACCAACTTCAAGCTGGTTTTCCACCACTTCTGCTGGGTTGTGTAGGGTTTGGTTTTGTCGAACAAATCGAGGTAAACTGAAAAACCCAAGCAACTCATACATTCACAATGTGCATTATTAAATTGTAAAGTCTCAGCGTTCAAAAGACATGACCAGGACATGTGGTTATTTTTTCCTCACAATATTAATTTTTTTACTCCAACCAGGACTGTGTAAGAAATAAATTGCCACAGTTTGGAGTTTTGCGATGGTTTTTCTAAAAGAATTCCTGCAACATGGATAAATTCAGGCACAAAACCTGGCAAATTACAGGATTTGTCCAAGCCAGATTTTTTTGGGGAGGGATGGTTTGGTTTTGGGGTAATTCCGGGTTTTTTTTTTTTTCATTTTGATTTTTCTGTTGGGTTTGGATCGGATTTGGGGAGCTTAGATCAATTCTGGATCAGACTCATTTCTATTTCGGGTCGGTGTGGCCAATTTAACCTGACCCATTGCACAACATTACTTAGGACCAACTTACAGGGTAGAATTACATATGACTGCAGACGAAAAGTTGCTTCAGAGAGCATCACCTAAAATTATTTAGCAATCCAGCCCTAACCTCAGCAGCAACACGTCCAGCATGTGCAGGGAGCACTGTGCCTCTTCCATCTCGCTAAACGTCTCCACCAGGCGTGAGATGTGGTGGCGGATGTCATCCACTACTATGATAGAGTCCGTCTCTTCCCTGTTGGTGATCTCCGCTGCATCCTCTAGGATCAGCTGCTGGAATTCTTCTGACTCTATGAACTGTCAGAAAAAGTGCAACAGGATGGAAACCGGTTAAATCAATCACCATTCCAGTCACAAGGCCAGTCAAAATGCCACTCACAAGCCCAGCCACAAACCCAGCCAGAAGTCAAACCACAAGTCAAGTCAGAAGTCCAGTGACAAGTCCAGCCACAATCCCCGTCATAGGTCCTGCCACAGGTCCAGTCACAATTTCACTTGCAACCCCAGTCACACCGTCCACAAGTTTCTTCATTCAACAGCCATCTTGAGGATAAACCAACTCATACCTTTTCCAGATGCCTGGCCATGTACTCTGTGCACTGGTCTTCCAGCTTGCTTAGAGAGAACATTCTGGACACGCGCAGCACAGAAATCACGTTGTCTTCAGTCAGGTGACTGGAGATTACGTTGGCGCATATGCGCTTCAGCCCGGGAAGGAGGTAGAGATCGGCAAAACAGAGCACATCATAGCTGGTATCCTCTGTAAGCTACGGAGTACAAAAAGACCATGTGAATTGTGTGTCTTCTCTGAATTGATTCTTTTTTTAAATCAACCTAAATATGCAAGCAACACTTTTGCGTGGGAAAAGTGAAATTGCATCACTACACATTAACTCCAATTTTGCTGAAAGGTTTGCTAAAAGGGGTTTGTCACAATGAGCAGTGCACCCCTCAAAAATGAAACCTGTATTGCTTGCTGTTTTGAGATTCTATACAGACCTACTTTGACAAGTCCAACTGAAGGTTTTTAAATTAAAATTTAGCTTTAGATCATACATTTGTTCAGTTGTGCATGATTTTAAAATTTTACTTGCAGTACTTAAAAAATACGAAGTTACCTGGAATAAAATCCATTCCAAATTCTGGCTAACGATGGCGCATAAAACGTAGCACATAATAAATCATTCAATTGAGTCCAACGGGAGAAGAATACATCATGGTTGACTGAACCACCAAAGAACTGTTCTGCGATCAAACATACCTCTACCCTCTCGGAGTAAATGTAGTAGACAATCTTGGCAAAGATCTGTGGCTTGATGTCATTCATCTTCACCACCGGCAGCGAGTGGTACGGGTCCTGGACGCTCTCTGAGAAGTGATCCGACAACAAGGCCCTGAAATACTCGCTGCGACAACAGAAAAAGACCTGCAGTGGGGAAAAGGCAAGACACAAATGATCACATTTAAACAATTTTCACAGATCACTGTATTTGGAGCACCTTGTGAAAACTTTTGTGATGCAAAGTTATTCAATACAAAAAGTGGAAGGTTATAGAAATATTAAATGACTTTGCGTCCGGGATGTGAATTGTATTCTAGGTTTTGCCTGACATTGATATATACATTCCCACTGTATTCTCCGTGTGTTCTGAGAGTTGTGAAAAATCATAAGTTTGCTCACGAGGGAATCAAACCCATGAGTCCACAACATCCTGCTTACTAGTGCAAATGTCTTAACCACCAAGTTTGCTGGTATCAGGTAGCTGGCTCCAATCCGATAAGTAGACAATGAGATTTATTGGTTTGCATTGGGGTTGTTGAATTTTCACTAGAGTTCGGAAGGTACAGTCTACAGCAGTAACTTAGGTCTGCTGTTACAGTGTATGGTAGTTTTAAGCAAAGAACACACTTCTTCACTAACAACTTTGGGAATCTTCACTGTGATCCACTTTACTTTCTTTACTCGGTCTTACTTTGTGACAGTAGAAGAACTGGCCTTCCACTGAGAAGCAGACATCAGCAAAGGGTGACCGCTCTGGCACCTCACCGCAAAATGGCAAGATACCTGGTCCATAAAACTAAATATACCAATGCAAACAAAATAAGGCAAGTGTTGAAGAAAAACCAATCACCAATTAAAAGCCTGAATTTCGAAACCACTTCAATTAAGCAAAACGGACACAGAGGTGGGTAACAGAGAATGACCAGAGTGATGTCTGATCTGCTCAGTTTGTAAGAATGCACATGAAAAAGCATCGGGTGAAAGCAAGCTGAAAATCCTGATTCCCTTCCCCAAAGTGTGAGCAAATCTAGGTGTTCTATTTTCAAGTCCTGGGAGAAAATCCACATGGTCAAGTCATACAGCTAACACTTTCAAAACTAGTACATTTTGCCCTAAAAGACAAAGCCATCTGAGCTACTTTTGCTTTAATTACAGGTCCAGTAACAAACCTTTTATGATATGCAGACGGTAGATGTTGCCCAGATAATTTCTGGAGGCCAAACGGATGTATCAAATCGAATAGATACATATTTGTTGTTCAGGCTACTGAAAGTAACTTAACAATTTGATCGGGGCCTGTGTACATTCCAATGTCTTATTTGTAAAGGATGTCCCCGTCTCCACTTCGTAGCAGTGGACTTACTTGACAAAAGGCAGATGGCACAGCCATGTCGGCTAGAGACTGCAGATCATCATGTAGGAGCGTGGAGTCCTGTGATGGCTCAATGGTCACTATGGAAACCTGCGTGCCTGGTTTCTGAGGGACTGTAGATACAGATGGAGGGAAGCAGATTTCGGTGAGAAGAATGCAATGAGCGTACTGATGAGTGGGGCAGTGAGATTATGTTTCCAGGGTCCCTAACCCCCCCTGGGACTACACATACAGGTAAGAGGCAAATTTAACACGGCTTGAGGGGTGTTTGGAAAAATGAAATGAAATAAAATTATTGAAAAAAATTGATAATTTACAATTTTTAAAACCTGTGCTAACTTTTTAACTTTTAAAACCTGTTTTTACAATGTTCACCTTTTGAAGGCATGTTTCCATAGGGATGAAATATATGCTTGGCTGGTCACTTTTGGCTCTATCCATTATCAGCATCCATACTTCTGATCCAGTGTTAAACATTCATTTCAGCACCAAGTATGTCGTTGTTTCCTTAAGTAAGTTATCAATATTGCCAGTTGACTTTATATCTTAAAACAGATGGTACACTGGTGTGTTTCCTTGCACCATTTTTGAGGACGCACAGTGTTTTAATAAAAACACATTTATACAAACAAACTTTGAATGAACAGGGTACCCTTTCGGAGGGCTTACCGTATTGCAAGATTGCCTGTAGTTTACTCTCTAGTTGTCCTAGTAACTCAGTCATCTGACACTGCTTAGCAAAGCGTTGGCAATCCTCATAGCAATCTAGATGTACCTCCAGGTAGCCTACGGCAATATGGCCAGATGTGAATTAGAAACCATCTTTATCCCGATTAAATTTTAGCAATACAATTGTGTGGTATTAATAAAAGCAAGTAATTTGCACTTGTTGTATTTTGGAGTTTTTTTTATTAGTTTGACTTCCTCACACCAATGCTTGCTTGCACTAGCCACGGATGTGCCCCTCCCATTTTTTCAACGGGGGGGCGTGGCCCTTTCCCCAATTTTAGCAAGTCCTGTAATGGGGTGGGCCTTAAAAGATTGGTCTTTTAATGGATAATGCCACAAAGTCTCACAACTGGCGTCCCACTTTAGAAATCATCCCGCTACCATTGCTTGCTTGACTTTCACCCAAAATGGCTACTTGACTCATACTTTGCAACTCATAATTTTGTTTGTAAGTCAACAATGAAAAGTCTACCCACCTGTGTAAATATACTGTAATATGGCCCTGAATGCCTGCCGCCGGACCTAAACAAAGCAAAATGACCAAGAAAATGTTTCAATTTTACATTCCGCATTCACGATCAATGAAAAAACAACAAGCAAATTCCTAATCTTTTTCAGTGAAATGTATTAATTGTTCAGGGAAAACATTTCTGAAAACGTTCTGATTATTTGTTGCTGAATTACACAACAATTTGATGCAGGTTAACTGCATCAGCAGCCAACATGACAAGATCTTATGCAATGGCACACGACTTCACTTATTCCACAATGAGTCAAGGCATAAGTTCTACAGCAAATTATGACACATTTACAGCACAGTATGAGTGTTTAGCATATACTTCCCCACAGTTTTTGACAATTTGAAGTAATTTGTGGATTTCTCCATTTTTCAACCTGAACTTAATCTCACTCATGTATTGGACCTCCGTCTACTTCACAGTGACTGTTAGCTCCCCCCCAAATGCAAATATGCTTATGTAGGGACTTCACAAGAGAAAGCTCTAAATGCGCGTAGGTGTCTTGTCTATGACAAATGTTGTCAAACAGCCCAATGATCTCAGCGATCCCTTTTGCATGTACAAAAGGGGTAGTCATGCCTCCATCTTTGGTCCAACTTCTAGGACCCCTTATGTCGCACCTACCATTGTGTGCTTGATGTTGATGGTGCTCTTGTGCTTCCATTTTGTCTCCAGCATGTCGGCGAAGTAAGGGCTCCTAGCATGCAGGATGCAGCGGTGGGCTGGGAACACCTCCTCATGTACAACAAAGACAATATCATCGTAACAGCTGCCCTCTAGTAACCTGCCATTGTCAGATTGGAACAAAGCGGCAATACAGAACAGAAACAGTTGCAACCAACAACTATCTGTGTTTTTTCAATAATCATATCACACACGTATAATTAAATTCAAAGTAAATCTGACTTTTAATCCCAACTAAAAGCAGCTGTTTCGAATGTACACAATTTCTTTTGATTTTTTATATTAAAAACCCCGAGGGGTGTTTTGTTTACAATGACCCAAAAATTAGTTGGATATGTTTGCCTGTTGCATCAGATATGCATAAATCTTACTAAAATGAGTGTGAGCAGATGTGAGATGAAAATGAAGAGTTAAGTGTGAGTGAAGTGGTCAAAAAACCTTCCACAACAGGCAGTTTGACGTAGTACATTTTGTATAAAGCTGGTTGCTGGTATCGACCATATTTACCTTCGCAGAAATTCCTGGAAGCCATCCCGTCTTGCCTTCCCAGTCTTGACGACCTTCCTCGACTTCAGCATGTCTCTGATCTCGTCTGTGAGGGCGCCATACAGGCAGCGCTCCCCGTCAAACGTTTTGGCTTCACACTGCGCCCCTTTGGAAGAAAATTAAGGCCTGAAAACATCATTCAATGATCCACACGTCACAGTTCATCTTCATCACTTCACTGCGTCAGTGCCTGGGTACTTTTTTAGTAGGAGTTGGGGTTTTGCTTCCGTCTGGCCCATGATAGTTATTTGCTTACATCTGGAAATATCCCCAGTTTCTTTTCTGAGATAGAGTACATACATTGTAATACCACAAATCCAAGTTTCTGCAGGTGCTTTACAATTAAGTCACCACACGTGCAGATTTGAACATCTCAACATCCGCTATTTGAAAAATAAATTCTGGATCAAGTAGCTTGGTCCATATTGTTTGGTTTTGAATGGCCAGCATGCTGCAGGGTATAAAATTTTCTTCTGCAGTGTCAATGTCTTGGTTCCAACCCTGGACTAAGAGCTGCTACATGTATATAGATTACAATGTTAACAAGACTTGTGCATTTTAGTTTTCTCTTAATTTTGCCGGAAACACCATCATTATGGCAACCCTGAACTTCAGCACATTCTGTGGCAGTAAATTTTTTTAACTGGGCTGGCTGTAGACCTTTTTTGCAAGCAATACTCAGATTTGTCAAACTATTTGGTGGGGGTTGGTAGGGGAAACACAGAATACATTATTACCATTCTCCAGCAGGTAGCTAACTACTTCTTTGTGACCACACAGGCAAGCATAATATCTGATAAAATATTGGGGAAAAAAATGACAAAATGTAGTCGCAACAAATAAGAAGGGACATCATTTACAGAAAGCTTCATCAAAAACTTGAGAGATAACACTCCCATCCGGGCAAGAAGGAAAGAAATTTCCCCCAAAGTGCTGTACATGTACTTTCCAAAAGGTCATGCATTTCTGACTCTGTTGCTGCAAACTACAGACTATAACGAACTGAGACTTTTCAAAATCACAACATCGAAAACTGAGCGGTTCCCAAGAAAATGTAAAACAATTAACTCACAACAAAGTGCTGTCCCATTTATCCCTTATGTTCACTTCAACTTCTTTTGTCTCCACCAGGTACCTGTATATGCCATTAAAAATGGCAGGAAAATAATGGCGGAGTTACATTAAATCGAGGCTGGGTCAAACTGGGCATTCAGCAGTACGAGCGTACAGTACATATGGTGCTTTCATTTGCAGATACACTGAGACCTACATGTATTCTCCTTCAGTTTTTGTTCAAAAGAGCTTTTTGACGCAAAACACAGTAAAGGGACCAACTCACGTTACCAGTGTTTCCCCTATGGTTATACCTTTTTCAATGCTTCCAAACATTTTACAATTGCTAATAGGCATGCAAAGTGGAGTTGGAATATAAGAGGAGAACATTTAATGTTCTTTCAAACGTGTTGTTCCCTTTTGCAGTCAAAAACAGAAGGAAAAAGATTTGTCTGTCAGTTTTGACATTCAAATGGACATTGATTTTCATTTCAAAACAGAAAATCACTCTTCAGTCTTAATCCACTTACAGCCTCTACACTGCTACACATGAAGAACAGGATGTATAGTAGACCCCGGACTTCAGTCATGGCAAAAATGTGAAACCATCAGGGAAAAGCTATTCATGTGATGGTAACTTATCGGCCCCCTTTACTATGCTTTGTGCCATTTACGTGAAATAAGGATGTCCCAAAGGCAAGTAGTTGGTCACTGGATGTCCCCAATGGAAACGCTATGCTAAATCCCCATCACATCTCTTGCCCCAATGGGTCCCGAGTGGGACCAAGAGAGGGCGCAATTTTCCTAGCAATGGATCCGGTGACCACTTTGGAGGGAACTGCTTAATTCACTGATTTGTGAATGACTAGGAAATGCATGCTTTGCATGCGTGCCGCTACAAACAACACACACACTCCCCACCAACATGGCTCTTTTCAACCGATGAAGGAGTGCTTCTGCTCAAGGTAGATACATTTAAGTGAATCTGTGTTATCATTTGATGGCTTTGCTATGATCACTTGTGAAAGTTTTACTGAGGGAATCAACCTATACCTGGCTGGTCTTAAATATTTACGACTAGATCAGGAGAATGGATGCTGATTAATGACTCGAGCCAAAGACCAGGGACATTATCAGTGTCCATTGTCTAAACTATCTTAGGTAGAGAGGACCAAAGTGTGACGTCATTGTGAATCAGGATGTGTAGTGTCAATAAGTGGAGTACGCGAGTGTGTTGGTTCACGCGTTGGTTCTTGAGCTAATGCCTTTTACATGCATACACATAATTGTGTGTGTGGCAAATTCACTTCGGTACTCTATAATGAATTGGCAATCATGGAATGCAAGGAATGGGTTTGTACAATCAGTTGATCGCCGGGCAATAGATCCCAGGGCAACATCTTGATGACCTATTGCACTGTGGATATTTTGGGAATAATTCCCTATGGGCATCACGGGAATAATTCCCCATTAGACATCACAATTTTCAAATATCACAGACAACAACAAGGGGCACTTGTAATTCTCGGGAGATTTTAGTGATAAAATCGGGGTTGATGAGAAACCAGGAATTCTTTTTGTGTGGCAGAGAATGTTTTTTCCAGACAATCATCCCACAGCACAGATCCAACAATGGTAACTGACACGCATGCATGTACATGTACATACTGTAGTCTCGACAGGTCACCGGTTTTGCAGCACAGGAATGCCTCGCTCCTATCACTTCGTCTGTGGTAAGTAGCCATGACGACAAGGAATACATCCAAGCACCTGAATCACCGAGATGAAAAGTCAGATATAGACACTCCACACTGACGGTGAATATTTCAGTCTTAATGCAGCTTAACTGATCCAAATCCAAGTGAAATGTGATTGATAGTTCACCTTTATGTGATTTACAACAGGACACATATATATTTTCCAATTTCAGCTTTTAATCTGGACACGCAGGATTGTCAAAAGCACCAACGTCATGTTTCCGGGTTCTAGATTGGTTTTACCAGTTCATGAGTGGGTCAAAACGTTGTCATGTAGAAAAAAATTATCAAGCAGGAAATCAACTTTTTAGCCAGAACCAACCTACACACAGCAAAATGTGTTAAAATTCAATTCACATACAACATAATTCTGATAAAAAAAAATTAGCACAATGGCAGAACACCCCACCACTCGCATCGTATAATAGTCAGCTACGAGGTTAAAAATCTATGCTTGACTGCCCTTGGTAAACATTCTAAGTGCTACCAAATGTGCACACACCATGCTTCACTGCACTCATACTTCCACTTCGTAGTCACATCGATCATAGCCATCAATGGACGTTGGTTTGAACTTTCAGTCACTTTTTTCAATGATCCCCACTCAGTTTATGTTGCTGCGCTCTCAGCATGATCCCCATTCCTTTTGTATAGGCCTACATTCAGTCTTTGGCAATTTCTTCATAACTGGAAATCTAAAAGTCATTTTGATTTGATAGACATTTGATGCAAGAGTTTATAGGCCCTATGATAGTATAGAATGAAAAAGTACCTGGAATAACATGCTGTGAGTGTTTTGTCATCCTTTGTATTTTGTTAGTTTTCTGGATCCCATGATTTTTATAAAGCATCCAAACATGTCAAAAATCTGGCTGAAATTTTATACAAGTTAAAGGAATTTCTGAAAACTGCATAAAGTCATCAGCATAAAACCCTTGCATTTTCAAACACAACTCGTCAGAAAATAAAACCTTTCACTAGACTTTTTCAAATGAGGGAGGTTTTCACTTGAAGTGATACCAGGAAAACGACTGTATAATGCAAACACCCCATGGGCTATGACGGGCAAGACGCCGGGCATGCCGGGTCCGGATCCACGGTTCAACCTCCATTGACCGTGTTGACTGCTTTACTTAGTACTAGTCTTCATCAGCTGAGCTGACATCCGGGAAAAATAATATGAAATGAATTTATAATATGATGAGAACCTAGTAAACGATATCAAACACACATTACCTGTCCTTAAAATGTTGAAAAACCAGGGTAAAATTGCCGAATAGCAGTAACGCACGGTCACCGTTGACTGATGCCTGGATTGGTCTGTATGGAGAGCTTAATAGTTTAAACCATATTTTTTATAGTTTGCTTTATTTCCTAGCTTAAACGTAATTTTATCCAACTAAATTTTCATAAAATACATTTTTCTTCCATAAAATTCTCAAAATTATAATCTTTATCTATTTGCTTGGATAAAGTATATAAAAGTTTATTACAAGTTTATATACAAGTTTAATATTGCTCGTTTTATTTTTGTAAGTCTTGGCACTTTATACAAGTTAACAGATTTCATTATAGTCTGGTGCAATGTTATTGTGCTATTCATTGTGCAAAACTGCATTCAGGGTCTGGGGTTCATAGTGCTACAGTAGTGAGAGTTGATCCAGTAGTTGATTTGGCAAAAAGTGTCCAACACCCTGACAATGTGGTTAATATTATTGTCATTTATCTGCATTCTTGTAATTTTTACCACACTGTGGTATATAATAGTGAATACGTGGTATAGGACTTCAACCAAAGAAAGAATCGTGATACTGACTAAATTTCCCAAGCCAGGCGTAGTCAAAACTCGACTCATTTGCGCACTCGGAGAGGCAGGTGCCGCTCGTGCGCAGCTTTACATGGTTTGTAGATTTCGCTTAACAGTTAGTAACCACAGTAACAATCTGAGTAACACAGCTTCCAGGATACATACCACTGTTCCTCTACGATATGCAATGATCCATTGAATTTTCACTGTCAGTAATAAAAACAGCCATCAGCGAGAGCACAGCTTCTAGACTGAGTTCTTGTCATGCTTTTTATTTAGTCGTGCTAGTGTCAATGCTATGCCCCAGCTATGGCCTTGGCCCCAACTGTACTTGTTCCGTAGTTGGGACTGGCTCAACAAATAGTTGGGACCAGCCCAACTATAGATGGGACAGACCCAAGTATACACATAGTTTGGGCCATGGCCATAGTTAGGGCATAACATTGACATGACAAATTCCAATGATATTGTTACATGTATTTTATAGTGAAAATGGCTCTGCCAGAATGCTTTGGTCCCATTGCATACATTGTGTACCGATCATGCAATGCTACATTCTTGATTTGACATGAAACACATTTCTTTCTCCTGTTATAGTCAGATCGCATATTTGATGTCGTGGCAGAATTTCAGTGGCGCAGTAGTGATGTAACAGTTGAGGTTCAGTTGTGTGGTGGCTCACGTGAGTAGATCAAGTACTGGTTGGAGAGGAAGCCATTTCCAAGGCGACAGTTCAGGTGGTCTTTCCAGTGCGATGGCCACTTGGGGCTCAAGATGGCCAGTGCACTCAACAAGGCCTTCAATGAAGGAAGCGAATTGGCTGTTCTTGTAAGGGTTTTATTTTTTGTTTAGTCCTAAAAAGCCCTTTATTGTGGTCGTATTTTAAGTCCTAAAAGCCCTTTAAGGTGGCCCTGGAAGAAGTTCCACTCAAAGGCAGACCCAGAGCCAATTTTTTTTTTGGGGGGGGAGGTGGGAGCAAATTCTTTTCATTGGCCTAAAAGTTTGGTAATTTTTGTGTAACCTTTCGTGACCTTTTTGAGGATTGTGGTTATATTTAGAGACTTTTTGCTTGCATGTTGAAGGAAAGGAAATGTAATAGACCAGAAAATTACCTTTCTCTCATAATTTAATTAAAAATTTTGTGAGGGGCTTAGGAAACAAGCTTTCCAGGTGGACACAGTGCCTCTTATTATCAATGTGTTTCAAATATTGTCAGAGTGAACTCTTTTTCAAAGAATGTAATTTACATATCTGACTGTCATTATTGAGTGCATAATGCCGTAGTGAGCAGTACTTTCTCAGCAGTTTTTCAATAAGCAAAGTTTCAGTTCATAATTGAAACAGAAACTCCTATAAATGGAATTGTGTCTGATTTGAATTGATATCTGCTTGATATCACAGCAACAGCGCCCTCTCTTTCATCCAGAAATCCATGGACAATTTTAAATTTTTAAAAAGGTGCATTTTTCAATACACTGAACTCCGGTCCAAAAGGATGATAAATTCTTTTCATACTTTGAAGAGGAGTATAAAATTGCACAACAAAGTGCCTGTAAGAAAACATCACTGCTTTAACCCTTTAATTCAGTGGTTTTATACGTAATACATGTATATTACTTTTCAGATTGGCAGTGACGTCCCCTCGAACAGTGCTGACATCCTGGACACTGCCTTGTCAAAGCTCCGCAGCCCTGACTGTGAGATGATCCTTGGACAAGCCAAGGATGGCGGCTACTACCTTGTGGGCTTGAGGAGGGAAGTCAAAGAGAGATTAGGTTTGATACATTCATCACACAATTTGATAATATCATAAGTCTGAAAGTTTTGGCTGAGGCTAGGGAACAACATGTGCACTTAGGAAGCCACTAGCTGGTGACTGCAGCTGCTTTCCATAGGCCTCTGTGTTATTGTCAGTCGCAGCCATAACTTTTGGACACATCCTCATCCTGTTTAAACAAGTGGGACTTGAGAATACAAGTTAAGGTGAGATTTATTATGTTAGGTGGCAAGTACATCATAGCCAGATGTGGAACTTGCCATAAATATCTATAAATACTGAAGACGTTACAAAAAATTGGATACAAAAAAGATGTCCCATCATTGTCATGTAAGTTTGAAACGTAATTTCAGTGCAAAAATGCATGATTTAGTACGCAATTCTGTTCAATTCAGTTCATCGCGTGCTATGGCCCAACAGGCTTCACAGCTTAGTTTTGGGGGGCTAGAATAGATCAGGTTCAGGAATGTAATATTGTGTCCATCGCAGGGGTCCTGGACGGCATTTTTGAAGGCATTGAGTGGAGTACCCCCACTGTGTGCCAGCGACAGGTGGAGGTGGCTGCTCTGCTGGGCGTCAAGGTGCAGCTTTTACCCCAGATACTGCAAGATGTGGTGAGGCTCCAAGTTCCAACCCAACAGAAATCCTGTCGATTTGGCTAGATTTAGTGAGGAAAGAAGTCATAGATTAGTGAAGTCATAGATTAGTGAAGTCCAGAATGAGGTATTTTCATTACAGGCGGTATTTGAAATTTTGGTGTCAGTGTTGTGGCCCAGTCTTTCCCCAAGCCTCCAGGTTCATTGAAATTGAAGGTGGTGTAATTGAAATAAAGTGTGACCAGCAAAACTATGTTGACTTCATAATTTGAATGAATGAAACTGAATTTTGGATACAGGTGTGAATCTACATCATTAAAGAAAAAGTTTGACATTTTTAGCATACGTCTTTGTCCAAACACTTGATTTCCTGCCAGTGACCAAAACTGAAAGAAATAGGCACTTTTCGCCTGAGCTCAGGGCATTTATTTGCTACAAGGTAACATAATTACTAGCTTTTGTGCTCAGTTTAATTAATGTTATTTTCAATATAGGACACCCCTGATGACTTACCAGAGTTTGAGAAGCATGTGGGTGTGAGAGTGGCCGATTTGAAGGCTCCTGTATTGTCAATAGTGATACCTGTTTTGAATGAGGAAGCCAATGTGGAGTGTGCTCTTCAGTCCATCAAGAAGGTTTGTATTTAAGGCTGTCTGCTACTGAGATTGGATCTATGGCTGTGGATCACCATAGTAGGTTATTTTGCCAACCCAAAGCCACTGCTGAAAGTGTTTGGGGTGTGAGAATTCAGTTTTTTTGGTTTAGATCCTTACTCCGATTTTCAGCCTGTTACAGAATTATAGGAATTCTTTAGATTTCAGCTTTTTGCCAGCTGTTTTTAGCTTTTTGTTTTTGTACGTGGCCACTCATGCCCCTGTTGGATACAGCTCATCTGTTCCTGAATCAAATGAAACAAATCAAACTCAAGCAGGAGTCTCAATCCATGAAAGTGGGAGCCATAACGTAGAAACATATAAGAAACATCATATGCTTGAATCAGCAACAAACAAATGTTTCATGGTTGGCCAAGTGTGCTAAATGGTATGTTTTTGGAATGCTAGATTTCGGGCAGTCAGATAGAGCAAACAACAGTGGAAGGGTTCTTTACTGTAAGTATGGATTTAGTGGGTTTGAATCCTTATCTCAATTGATTTGTTTACAATGCAGAACAGCTCCTGGATTGATTATATAGAGATCATTGTCTCAGATGGTGGAAGTATCGACAGCACTTTGGGAAAAGTTGAAGATTTTGCTGAGAAAAATCCAGACTTGAGAATCAAGATGGTGCGGGGAAGTAAAGGTCAGCTGGTAACATTACTGTGCATTTTACATTAAGTTTGGTAGTTTTTGAATACATTTGTGGGAAATTTCTGCCGAGATAAAAGATACTGGGTGACCGCAAATTCACGGGTGGAGCACAAATGCCTAAGCATCAGTGAGGTACAAGGTACTGGCTGAAAACCTCTTTTGCAGATTTGCTGTGTCCATGTGCTCCAACAAGTTAACCGTGGTTTGTTGAAACCAAGGAATCAGAAAAACATAGGTCAGAGAAGCTTTATGCACTGGTAGAACAGACTAATGTCTTAAGCTCCGCCCACTGGGCAGATGAGCAACAGTGCATGGCGTTCTCCAAGGCTGCACTGTGCATTCCACTTGTCTGCGTTTTGGGTAAATAAATGGTTGCTTGATGAGAATGACTAAAATGTTAACCAGGGGCCTTAACTGCTGAGCGCAGCTGACTAATGCTACAGTGAACTGATCAATGTTGTGCTGTATACGTGTCTTAGAAGTTGCTGATTAGACTCAGCAAAGGCAAGTACTTACATTGTAAAGGACTTTTCCATTTAGTGTTTTAATTAAGACCTGTCCAAGGCTTTCAAAGAAGCTGATTAATTGTTAATGAATGATTGTAATTTTTAGAGACACAAGTCATATAATTTGGCTATAGACTGTAAATATGTGATAGAGAAAAATGATGCTCATGTGTGTTTTGGAGATGAAATGGGCTTATTAACGGTGCAAATCTCACTGAGACCTTTCTGATATCCTGTCAATAATCACTTCTCCATTTAAAAATACTGCTTTTCACATTAATGTCCAAGAACTACAGTTAGAACCTTAACCCACTGGGATCGACTGACTGATTGATGTTCCATTCCATGAGCAATTATGTGAGGTCCCAGAATGGTCTCAGTTGCAGTACTGATGCTTTCAAGGGTCCTCTCCTTTCCATTGGGCTATTTTTTAACGTATAGTATCACAAATCAAGCCCTTTTCCAATCTGCACATAATCAGGGAGAGGTAAGCAGCTAAATGCTGGAGCCAGGGAGGCTACAGGAGTCAATCTCTTGTTTCTCCACGCTGACGGCAGGCTCCCGCGGGCGTTCGACCGGCATGTCTTACTGACGCTTGCCGAACCAGGAACTATCGCTGGGGCATTCAATTTGGGATGGGATGTTCTCCAGGAAGACCAAAGGTACAGTATGCGATAGACTGTTTTATTCGAGATCTGTTGCCTGCTTGTTTAGAAAGTGGATGTGATCATGTGAAACAATGATTCTTGCTTTTATAAGCTCACCTTTTAGTTTTGATCTAATTTAGGAGAAAGTGTTGTTGCTTGGACTAGCAAATTTTTTTAATTCAGTGCTTGGACAAGTGTACTGCCCGCTTTTGGGGAAGACTGATGACCAAGGAAGTAACTTGACGGGCTGAAGATTTTGGTTTTGTTAGGCTTTGATTGACTGTAATTTGGAGCTACCAGCTTGGCACAGCTTAGTTTCAGCCTAGATTGAGCAAAGTTTGAGTTTTCAAATTATTTGTGAAGACAAATGATGGTTTTCTTCTGGTTTTCTAGAAATGATTGCAGCTGGTTGGTTCAGGCACAACTTCGGCTCGGCCAATTAATGCGCCTAGCTAGCTACAAATTCACAGGTGAGAATGTGTAGGACTGAACAAATTAGTGGGCATCATATTTGAGATAACAAAAAGTACGGCGTGTAAAAATACTTCCTTCCCCACACAAAGGCAAGTACAGAAAGGAAGTTAGTAGTCAGGGTTTGAAAGCTCAGTTAGTATGGTTGTTGCCCCTGCAATCCAGATGTTGCTGGTCTTATTAAACCCTCCTGCATTCAATTTTCTAAGTTTGACTGAAAATTGTATTTTTTCCATTGATAGAAACTGCGTTTGGAGACCAAGGGTTGTTTATGTCGAGGCAAACATTTGACAAAGCGGGCCGGTTCCCTCCGTACAGGCTCATGGAAGACTATGAAATGGTTAGGTTTTGTATCTTCCAGTCCAGCATGTGGCATGGCCTTGTTTGAAATTTTGAGTTTCTGAAATGGCATCTTGCATGAATGAGATCCTTTGTCATGTTGCATCCCAGTACAATCAGATTTGAATAAGGCTGCATCCTAATCTTTTGTCTAGAGCTAGGTCTAGGTCTTCACTCCATTGGAAATGCGTGGAGACGCGTAGATAATAGACCTAGCCGTAGGTCTGGAAGCCCATTTCGGACATGGCCTAAGCCTTTTGCGAGTTAACTTTGACCCAAATCTGGTACACTGAGTTCTTTAAATTCATGTGAACATAACAACTTGAATTCTCCTCACTAAAACCACTGTTGCTTCACCTCGTGATTCGGGGCAAGCTTTTGCTTTGTTACATAAGAGATGCCTTGCAACAATACACTGTTCTCAATGGATAAGAACAGCACAAAGGAACCAGTCCATTCCAGAGATGGTGATCGCTATGCGAAAGCTTGCCATGAATCACGAGGTATAGCAACAGTGTCTTCAGTCTGGGGAATTCAAATCGTTTTGTTTAGGTGCAGTCAGATAACTCACTGCACCAAATTTTATTCAAATTTAAATTGCAAATGGCTTATTACTTTAGCTAGCTTGGTGGACAAGAAGATTACGACATTTGCAACCCTAAACTGCCAATTTGAATCTTTTGCTCTAAGTCAGCTCAGTGTGGAATGAAATTGTTTTCCACAGTTTTGAAAAAAATCTGTAATGATTCTGAACTTCTTATTTTATGTTGTCTGTGTGGAGTAAAAAGATCAGTCTTTTTCTGAAAGAACTTTTGACATGCCGGAAAATAAATTAACATAATGCTTTGAGACTACTTGCCGTGTAGTTCAAGGAAATCTAAAAATTCTCCCAAAACCTGATAAAAAGAACACTGTGTAGGTATTACAAAATGTGTGTCTAAATTTTTTTCTTCAGGCAATGAACCTCCAAAGGCATGGACATTTGAAGATAATTCAAGATGTTTTCATCATAGCCTCAGCTCGTCGCCTCATCAAGAAAGGAGTGTGGAAGGTATTGTCACAAACGTTGTCTGCATATGATAATACCACAGTACTCAATTTTTCTTTCTAAATCTATGTACATGTACTCAACACTGAAATCATCTATCCAGGATATTTAACGCTGCTGTTCCACTAGTCAATGAGCCATGTTAAAGTGAAGCCAGGTGGGCGCATTCATGTTTGTGCACAAACTTATAGAAAATATGAAATGTGGTACGGCTCTATAAGTACAGCTTTTTGTATGGCCATTTGCAAACCAGTGAACTATTGAAGTTGATATGCCCAAAACTGAAATGCACAATCAGTAACATGAGTGTTTCATTTTGAATCTAGTATCTGCTGTACTTGAGGGTTCACATTTTGCTTATGTTATTAAGAATTCATTCCTTCTAGTTTTGTTATGTTCTACAAACTTGCTCGTGACTTCAAAATGGCTGCACTGAGGATGGCTTAAGAGTTTCTCCGTAGGGAATAGAAATGTTGAGTTGGTTCTCTAGTATAAGCAATTATGGGTTAACCTTATGCAAAGTGTTTGGATAGCATAACTATTCTTTTGAAAATTCCTCACTGAAGGTGCCCCTTTTTGTGTGTTTTACAATGCAAGGTTGCACTCATCAACTGCCTTCTGATCCTGGGATATCACATCAGTGTGCATCCAGATACATTGGCACGTTTCTATTATGGCTGACCTGTGGATTGCCATGGTGATGATGGGGGCACAATCGTTGCTGCTTTTATTCTGAAATAGATCAGTATATAGTTAATTGAATGCTATTTTTCCAAATGCAGTGAATGTATCAGTATATAGTTGAGTACTATTCTTCCAAATGCAGCTATTATACCAGTATATAGTCGAGCACTATTCTTCCAAATGCAGCTATTATATCAGTATATAGTCGAGCACTATTCTCCCAAATGCAGCTATTTTACCAGTATATAGTCGAGCACTATTCTTCCAAATGTAGCTATTATACCAGTATATAGTCGAGTGCTATTCTTCCAAATGTAGCTATTATATCACTATAAAGTTGAGCACTATTCTTTTAAATGTAGCTAATACGTGCTATGCTTCCAAATGCAACTGCTGTTTGTTTATATATGTGACCCGTCATGAGAGTAAAGTCGTACTGCTCTTCCCTATTTTGACAGTTCACAGTCAAATATTGAAGTGGAGGTCAATTTTTGGGTTTCATAATATTTGGAAAGAGTAACCCGCCTATTTAATTCCAAATATTTCACATGCTCATATATATCTAAAAATGTCATTTTCTCAGCAATTTTGACAATAGCATTATTCATACATGGTCAGAAATGTTGAAACTATGTCAGGCACAAGTGCACAAAGCTGATGCTGAAACATGGTCATCACGTGGGATTTACAAATGTTTTGGCTAGTGCGCAAAATATGTGTGTGTGAGCTGGACATGTCAAGATGTCGTGCATGCGTAATTTCCTCAGTGTCCGATCATCAGGCTCAATACTTCAAATTTTACTCCAAAAGTTTGGACTAGCTACAATGCCCTTGATCATAAAGCTGTGAGTTTCTTTTATTTTGGACAGAGGTGTGTTATACAATGGACTATATAAATCAGTCACTGATGCACATCTATGCCCCCCTGCCTGTGAGAGACCAGAAGGGGGGGTCCTCTTTCCCGAGGCTAAATGCCTCTTCTGGTCACTCACAGTCCCTCAGGGTGCACAACATGCTTTCACTTCAATGCCCCCCCAAAAGAAGGGAAACAGTTTGGGAGTTCATTCCTGCCCCTGTAATGGATATGTCTCTGGTACCTATTTCCAATAGAGGTTGTGTTGTGGCAGCCATTTCTCCAGTAACTGCTTTTATTACGGAGGGTAGCGCAAAAGGTCTTCTCATGTGTATCCCTGTGGAACAAAAGCTCTTAATACCAGAAAAATGGCTGCCATGCACAACCTTAATCCAATCCTAACCGTAGGTCAGTGTTGGACTGCCCAGCTAACCTGACATAGGAAAGGGCAAAACCAAAAGTTGCAGTTGCTTGTAAATATAGTGTTACAGCAAGATATGTGTCCAAGTGCACGTGGTCATGAATAAAAGCTTAAGCGATGACAGCAACTGGTTAATTTGTATGTGTCCATTGTGTTCATGGACAAGTTTGGTTTATTTTTTCCTGTTTGCAACTCTATGACACTTGCTGCAGCTGGCCGTGATCAGGTTTTATTTTGTAGAGATGTTTCAGAGTACTGATCAAGGTTCTGGGTTTTTTTTTTTAGCTTATTCACAGCCATCCGTCATGATAAAGTTTTCCACATCTTGAAGCAAAGTCGCAGCATATCCAGATTGTGGTTGACAATTGTACTGAAATATGCACTTTAAAATGAGCTGTTTGGGCATTAAACAAATGATTTGAGTTTCAAGTTACAGTACACAGGTTCTAAGAAAGAACACACTTGAACAATTTTCATGTAGGTTTTTGCATTTTTACTAAGCTCTTCTGTTATCTTACAGTAATATACAATGCTTTGAACAGAAAACTCCACTCTTTCCAAAGAATAAAAACATGACCTTTCTTCAGACAGCCTGTGCACAGTAAAGAAGAGCACACATGAACATGCCAAAGCAGTGTGACTTTGGAAATCAATTAAAAATGACACAGAGACATTCAAACTTAAAGTTGGGTGAAACTGGACTTTCTGTGGCCATGTTAAAGAAACAAAGCATGTTCTGACTTCAGTGGCAAAGGGAGACTTTGAGAGGCTTGGTGGCGACAAATATACCGGTCCTTTTTACCAGTTCTGAGCACGTGCGCGTTGTTCTGAGTATGCGTGTATAGTTCTGGGCAATACTTTGAAAAAGGACTGGTTTGTGTGCTGCCACCAGTGTCTCAGAGTCACCCATTGAGAAAATTGTTTGGAAAATATACCGATACTGGCTATTTGGAGACTGATTGGCCCAGGTGTTGGCTAATATAAAAGGCCAGTTCTTACTTCAGGCAAATGCAAAAAGCGAAACAAATTTGATATGACGAAATGTTTGAAGTGAAATTTGCTGGAGTTGACGTGTTCAACTTTTGCAAGTTGGTAGAGCAAATATTTGCTTGGACATCAGAATTTTGCATTTGTGTTCACTTTTGTGGCATGTACGAACTGGCCTTTGAAGGTAAAGTTTTCCAGTCAATGGGACCAATCATGGAATTCTTTTGGCACTTGGACCAATCAGCTGCGGTAGTTGTGAATCTGTAGGAGAAACTGTGTTTAATACATAATATACGGAATAAAAGAAAGTAATCAAAAAGATTACAATCAATACTGAGTGGGAATTGTGTTCCGAGCCACAGACTTAACGGCACTGTTAATTTCTGTTGGACTTTATCTTAGGGTAGGGGAACCTTAGCTAACATGAGAAACGAGAGGGATGGACACTGTCCTTATACTCCCAAAATGAGGTGCAGATGGACGCAATCATCAATACTGGGATTTGTATCCAATGTTGGAAGGTGAAATGACAGGTACACAACCTCACATAGGAAAAACAAAAAAAACCTTCACCTACTGACAATGAACCCCCCCATGGTCACTCAGCATGTGAAGCAATACACAGTATGATCACAAACAGTTGAACTTGGATGCCATACTCTATCCGTGTTAAGGCTACAGCTTGAAAAAACAACTGCCAAAGGCATACCATTTGCATTGTCTCTTATTACAAGCTTTTATCAAATGGATTTTAGTGACTATAGAATTAAACTGTTTGCAAGAAAAAGGTGATCATTTTTGTGGTAACATTCCTATTTCATATAAATATATACTACAGTCAAGATTTACAAAAAATCTCTCATACCAAGGCCTTGAAGTTTAAAAAACAAATATTAGTTATAAATATGAACATTAACAATCTTTGGTTCAATTGACATGATAGGTGTAGTTTTTAGTAGTATTGGAAATTTCATGTTAAAAATGGGGAATATTGAAATTGTGTACCATGACATTTTTACAAGTTGATGAGGTTTATCAAATGGAAACAAAAATTTCTGATGAAAAATGAGTTTTCATCAGAATATGTGAGGGAAGAGGAATCACTATTAAATGCAGCGATTCACATAGAGAACTGAAAAACGGTTGAACCCAATTTACCAATTTTATGTTCTTTATAAGTTCTTTGTGGATCCTCGAAAAAAGGAAATCCTCTCAAAACTAGGAAACTGTTTTCCACACTGATGTGAATTCAAAGTGCTTTATCAGTCACTTTTTTTTAAGATCGACTTGTTCACTGACCACTGCAATGACACATGAATGGATAAAACCTTGTACAAAAACCCTGTAGTTCCAATTTCACCGTTACGGTAGCTTTTTTTGTCTTCAACACTGGAAACCAACATTTTTAACTTTTTTTTCTGTGCAGATCATCGTCAAGAGCACACACTGATTTCATGTGTGAACCACATGTAATAATGCAAAATTGTTAATTTGCCTTTTCTTCTTTGCAGAAATTTCAATAAGAATGACATGGGTGACATAACAGGTTTAAAAGATGTGTAGAAAGTAACTATTTCACCTGAAACTGTCTTTTTTTCTATACTCATGTGACTGATCATGAGAACATTTTACAAAACCAGGCAATTTGACGTGTGACTGAAGCTTCTGACCTTTGCAAAGCCATCTGCACCGTCTCAAGGGGGCGTGAAGTGTAAATCGCTTGTGTCAAAGCTATGGTTTTCATTGCCAGTTTTGAATTTTAGGCTACCCTCAGTCCAAATACAGTAAGTTCACAGGATCCTGCTTTGAATAAATCCATCATGTATGTGCACATTTAAATTTATTGTGACCTCAAGTTCCAGCCATGCCCGTGCTGCTGGTTACAGATGAGACCAATGCTCTTTTGTTAACAGGTCAATACCTGTCAGCTGACTTGTGAAGTACATATGTACTGATTGGTCACATGGAGTCAAAATGCTAATGCCTTGCACAATTAATAGCAGAATATGGATGCCATTCCCTTAAAACAATTCTCAAAGCCACTTCTGTATCGAGTATTCAACTAAGCCTGATCAACACAGAGAAAGACAAGTCACCAGGCTGTTTCATGACTAAGACTGCAGAATTATTTATTTATTTTTAATATCATCATCCATTTCTTCGGGTAACAAAAGAACAGACTATGTGCCACACACTTCCCAAAGATTATAACATACAAATCACCTTTAACCCTGGAAGCCTCCATCTAGTGCAGAAGGGTCCAAAAAGAACTGCAGATGTGGAAAAGCAGTTTAATAATGGAATTTGTCGTTTTGAGCCTTGCCAATTCTGGTATTTCAAAACAAATAAAAAGTATGTCAAACATTTGAAGTTGCCATGTATGCTTTCACTCCGATTTCTGGATTCAAATATATGGTTCAGAATGATAGAAATGACAGTCATATAAAAAGAACAGCCAAAATGAATGTCCAACCCTCCCTCTCCAAAACCCAACCCCACCCACAAAATCCATAGCTGAAGATCATTTTGGCAATGCCTAGTACCAACAGTGAAACGTGGACATGATCAGAAACCCTAAAAGACATCAATGCAAAGTCTTACGTTTATCAAGTTTGCTTCATCCACCTCAGTAGTAAAACCTGTGCATTATGTACAGCAGCGAGGCCATCTGCAGTTTGTTTTCAGATGGGTACAATGCTTCAGACAAAAGACGGCTATCAAAATTTCTCCCACTTTCAACTAGGGCGTCGGTATCAAAAAACCTGTTTTTGGCACACATAAACTAGTCAAGTACAAATGTACACTTCAGTGAATGTTTACATCAAGTTGAGAAAAATCTTGTTTACAAGGGTTAAGTACAGGGTGAAAATGAAAGGGAATGAGGAACCCGCTGACTTATGAATTAATTGTTTGACAAAGTTACGAAAAATCCCATCCAGGAAGGATTACACTGAAGACAGTCAAGGTAAACGTATATCAGTTCAAAGAAATGAGCAGCAAAAGTGAGCGTTCACAGGGAATACCTGTACACAATTACTCCTTAACATTCAGCACAATTTTTTTTAGGATAAGTCAAATGCTCCTTTTAGACAGGAGTGGGGTAAAGGGTTGGGTAAAAAAACAGCCAATGCAGAGTACAATCTTGTTTCAACAGCTGATGAAACATGACTGTAAGATAGTGATTGAGGTATTGAGATTTCATCCAGAATGCCCTCAAAAATACTTTGCCATTACAGGCTGAATACAGTTACGAGTTGACACCAAATTGTGCTTCAAAGATGCTCGGTCTGGAAAGATTCCACTGGCTTAACCCTATCCATGCTAATGCAATGGAATCTACATGTACCAGTGATGCAAAGGTGGTGTCCAATGTTGCATTTAGTGGTGAACGCAAGAGGCAGAGAACACTGTGTCGCTTGATAGGGCCTAGGCCGGTGTGGATCCAGGGCACATTTCAGTTTTGCTGCAATCTCTGCATTTATCAAAGAACCTGATGGGGAGGGTGTAGGGTAAAAGCTTAAAGGTTCAACGTAACTGCCTTTGCTTTCCTTAGCTGGAGCAAAGTGTGACTTCAACTCGGGAAAAAGGGGACCCTACAATGCTAGGAACCGCAATGAAGATTACTTGGACCACACAAAAGAGCATTATTATTTTTGAGGACACCCTAAATGCAAAAATGCATCAACTTGTGATCTATCAATATCACCTGAAACAGAAGCTTCTATTTTAAACTCAAAAAGAAATAAAAAATACATTTAAAAACAACTGAATATGATTTCAAAAATCATGACAAAACTCTTAGTACATTTAGAGGAACGACATTTCTTTTTTAATATATATATAAACACATGAAGGGGTGGGATGCAAAAACATACCTTTTCTTTTCAAAGTAATATATTATTTACAATCTTTCTGTACAATACAAAGGAACAGAAATCCAATTATTATTTGACTCCGTTGGGCAGCGGGCTAATTTGAGAGGCAGAAAAATCAGAAATAGCATTGCCAGGACTCGGCGTACAAACATTTAACACACCTTTTTTTGTGGGGGGGGGGGGGAGGGGGGCAGCCACATTGTACAAATACTGGCTACTTCGAAGATGGTATGGTAAAACTAGTCTCTCAAGGTGCATTTCACTTTCTGGAGGTGAAGCCTACAGAAAATGGAATGCTCAGTGGATCATTAAGAAAGGCTAGTGTTTCTAGTGAGAGATATGAGAGAAGTGGGGTTTAAAGAAAGATAAAAGCAGTGATGTCTCCAGCCTCGGCTAACAGCTCGGCACAAGGCAATGCTTACATTCAATAATACCGTATCAACTCCCACCCCCTTTAAAAAAGGGCGTGTCCTGAGGAGAACAGATAAGGAGACGTCACAACACAAGGGTTCAGGCTCAAGTTGTGCCGCCTCAGTTAAATAAATAAATTCCCCTCAGGAAAAAACCAGAGTCCGGGAAATGCCATCAACACCAGAACTAGTCCCACAATGCATCACATTTTTACCAGCACCGAATGAGAACTGTTTCAGGGGAGATACACCAAATTTCACTTACCCAAGATCTTTCAAATTGTCTACTAATGATAAACATTCATCTAACATTTAATCCTTGTGACCATTGAAATAATGTGATGCATCGTTAGACGGCAGAAGCAGTGCCTGATTCCATAGTTGCTTAGAAATTGGAAAATAAAATAAACTTTCTGCCGCAATTTTTCTTTGTTCCATTAATACACAGCTCCTCAATGGTAACATAATAATAATATTAAAATAACTGCTATCTACACATTGCTAGGTGGCGCTGTTCTGTTCTGGGGCCGACGCACCTTCAGTGAGGGTGCTTTATGGTGCGACGAGGGCGATGTTGATTTCGTCTTGTGGGCAGGGGATAGGTGGGTGGAGGGGTTGGGGTTGGACGGTGCGTTGCGACACTTCTTGCCCGCGAGGTGGTTGCGACAGTGGGTGCAGGGGGGAGAGGCGTGCATGCGGGCAGTCTCTGTGGAGGTAGGGTTCTCGTACAGATTGACAGGGACCAGCTGCTGTGGGGTACCAGTCCCTGTGTGATGACTGCTCCGCGGTAGCGTGTGCGGGTGGAGATGCCTGCCACATCCTGGTTGATCTGAAAAAATTATTTAAACAAAATGGACTCTCTCTCATTAAAATCTGTGTCTACAGTGTTGTGTCATCCCAAAAATCCCAAAAATGCATTTAGGGCAAGTCTGAGCAATGACAATTTGTCGACCCCCAGGCCAATTTTCCCTGGTAACCTGTGCACAAAATATGTCCTCGGTACCAGGCAAAATCAACCAGTGGTTGACAAATGGTCATCCCAAACCTGCCCTTAGATTCAGGAAGGACACATTCTGATAAATTTTTTCCTTCAAGGGAAGGATGGGTGGACATATTATGACTGGGCAACTTAACATTGTCAACTATGAATGAGGAGAATCTGAAAACATCCTCTACAGACCTGAGCCAGAGCCTTTCTTACCTTTTTGACATGGTGTGTATCCCCGCGAGTGCCATCCCAGTGAAGCGCTCCTAGGGCTCTGGAGCTGCCCCCTGCAAACGCCCTCCACCTCGGGCGACCCCGGGGGTACGGACGGGTGGAAGAGCCGCGGTAACGTCCCATCCAGGACGTCGGGGGACATCCTCTCCGTGCTGCCCTGCCTTTCCCTTGACGGCCTGCTGCAGTGCTTGGGACTGGAGACGGCTCGGTCAGTGGACTCTTGGGCGAGGCAGCACTCAGCCGGGCACTCGCTGTGCTCTGTGCAGCTCTCCGGGTCTGTATCAAGATCCCTGTCATAGTGTAGGTGCTGGGGGGTGTCTAGTACACTATCCCCTGGGAGAGACAATGGGGAGAAGAGAACATGAAGTGTGACATGCTGCTGTAAAATGAGAGCATCAGTGGCTAAAGTACTGCCACAATCCTGGTGGTAAAATTGGACTCCTATTTATTTACAACGTGCTAGATTCTTTTCAAGGTACTTTACTAGAAAGTGGCTCTAGTGACTTGGGACTCCTTCTTTACACCCACACTTCAACGAGTATTTGAGAGCTGTGACTTTCATGAACTACCTTTGTCGTCTTCCACATCCTCGCCTGCCACTGCTATGTCCATGGGGTCGCTGGACTCCCCAGCAAACATGGCCGTCTGCAGCCGGTGGCCATACTTGAGGCCTGGATGCATCATCACCCCACCACTGCCGCTGCCGCCGTCTAGTGAGTCACAGTCGCTGGGATTGTCCGGGGGGAACTTGTCGGTGGCCGCGCTGGAGATGCCGCTGCTGGTCTCCTGGTGGATGGTGCCGTCTGAGGAGCCATGGAAGGCCGAGCTGGGGATCTCGGGTGGGAGGGCAGGATCATCTGTGGAGATGCAATTTCATACGTGATTCAAAAATGATGGAGGACTCACCATACAAAGAGAGAGAGAGAGATCAACAGACGACTGAACTGCAGCAATACATGCTTGAAAATAACTGAATGAAAACGCACTGTGTGTAAAGCCGCTCCTGTTCTCATACAAAGTCTATGACAAAACTGTCCTTACACAGTAAAAATCACCTTGAAGCCCCCAGACACTGATAACTGGTACCCCTGCTCTTCATGCTTATAAATTATCCCCAAGACCATTTCAGCTCTGTTAGATGAAACAATTCAAGCCGCCATTCTTAGCCAAACATTTAATCCAACCAGAACTATTAGTGCTCTTACTGGCACAAAGGTACTCCTGGGCGGAGTTACATGATTCACATCAGGTGCCTTGCTCAGGGGCACATGCATAAACCTGCAATCTGGACTCCAAACCAGGACCCACACAATAACATGTTGATCTTGATTTCACCACATTAAACCACGCGACCAAAACATGGCCACTCAGTGGTGGAGTTTTAAGCAAGGAAGTCGAGGGGAATACAGACAGACAATCACGATTTGTAAATTTTTACAGGCTGCCCTCAGCCCAAGTTCAGATATGTGAACTAAAATGTTGACTAGACACAAATGTGGAAAAAGTTGTGAGGTATAAAGGGGAAACCAGCAAAAAAACAGAAATAGAAACAACCGATGACAGACGAACAGTGAGTATCAACAGCCACATTGAACTGTACCTGCATGGGTTGTGTTGTAGTGCCTTCGTTGTTTCCTCGTGTGATATATAATCAACACCCAGACTAGTGAGGTACCAACCACACAGCAGACTACCAGGATGATGATGATACCGGTCGTGGTGCTGTAATACTTGGTTTCTGCGGGGCCAATAACAGCATACTCTTTTGAGAACGCTGCAGTTAGAATAATCTTACTACACAGCATCGACCACCGGACAGGATGTGACATCTGGTGAGAAACTCTGCTTGACCCTACATTAGCTGAGGAGGAAGCAGACTTCAGTCTAGCTCAGCTCTCTGAAATTTTACCTCAATTGGTGGTCTTTTTCTTTAGTAATTGACCGATTAATCACACAAGTACTGTGTGCAGTTTGATTTAAAACTCGCTGCATCACATATTGGACTAAATTTCAAAGTCCCTTTAGGATATTACACTTGTCCAATGACCTGCATATTTGATTTTACGTTTTAAACTGTGAAAGGGCTATGCTATCCAGGCAGGGCACAAAGCTCCTTCCAAGGGGAAGGATAAGAGCTCATCAGTAAGCATCCTGACAAGCCATCAATGCTGGAGGGGATCGATTTCCGAGATATTTTGGAACAAATTGGAGATTTTTATCCCCACTCCTCCTGTCTTTCTCATTTCTTTCCCTATTTTCCTGAGTTTCTTTTCCAGGAGAGGAGGGAAGTGATGTTCCCTCAGCCCCCCTCCCAAATATGCCCATGTCCCTTTCATCTAAAGCTCTACGGCGGAGGTTGGTAAAGCCGTTGTGTACTCACTTGGCAGGACGCTCAGTGTCACAGATCCCTTCTTCACACCCAATTTGTTGGCCACCTCGCAGGTGTACGGCCCGCCATCCTCCGTCTGGACATTCTTGAAGATCAGCAGCCCGCTGTCGCCACCACCCGTCAGGATACGGTCCTCATCTGGCTGGAATGCCCGGCCGGCCTTGGTCCAGGTGATGTGGGGCGGGGGCAAGCCTGCCACCTTGCACTCCAGCACAGCCGCTTCCCCTGCCCGCACCTCCACATCACGCGGCCGCTCCCGGAAACTGGGGGCTTGCAGGACGGTCAGCGTGGCGTTGGCGCTGATGGTGCCGGCCGCATTGGTGGCCGTGCAGCTGTACATGCCCACGTCTGATACCTTGAAGGTCAAATGCAACATGCAATTTGAATTTTCTTGCTAAACTGCACCAAACCCAAACAGTGCGGGAAGCCAGTAGCAAATTTCCTGAATAAAGGGATATTAAGCCCCAATGCAACCTCGGCCCTACATGGATATTTCTCAACCCTACCAATTCCACATCTAGAAGGAATCCACGAGGAGTAGCAGCACTGTGTATGTGTACCTTCCAGAATCCATCCAGGCTATTTGAAAGAGGGACAGATTCTCTTGCTTCATTTTCATCTCTGCCTGAAGAACGAGTGCAGTGCCCTTCATGTTTAAATCAGTGGCAAGGCACGTGCTTGGGACTTTGAACATAGGTTGAGGTATCTAAAGCGACTGAAATTGAACTCGGACATAACCTGAGCTGAATTCATACACTGTAGAGGCCTTAAAATCTCCTGGAACATATATTGAAGGGAAAATCACACAGTAAAAATATTGATCATGTTCAGTTTGGCATGAGATTTGGACAAAACAAAACAAAACAAAACAAAACAAAAGAAACAGAAAAGAAAAAGTCCACAGAATGGGCATCTTAAAGCAAACATGGCTGCACTTGATATACCGGTAACTGTATGCTGCAAACCAGCATGCTGAACACTAATGTACTCAAGTTCTTACAGGTCATTCATGAGCCAATCATATGTCCAGTCTGAAGAAGAGTTGCAAGCCTTTCTGTCGCTCCTCAGCCCTTATTGCATGTGACCAGGCTTGCAATTAGACATGTGACTGGCTTGTGATGGGCTCAACTACCGATACCTCTCTGATTCAACTGAACATTGCTCCGCGGAAAGCGGTGCCATACCTTGACGTTGGAGATGTAGAAAGTCTCTGATTCCTCATCCATGACCTGGAAGCGTCGTTCCCGGGCAGCCGGGAAATCATCCCCACCGTCCTTCTGCCAAGCGATGACTGGGTTGGGGTCGCCCGTGGCTGAGCATTCCAGCCGGGCCGTGCCGCCGACGCGCACCTCACTCTCCTTGGGAGTCAGCGTGAAGGACGGGAACACTGAAAACAGGGGGAAAGATCTTGCATCAGAAATGAGCAACGTTAAGCTCACCCCCACAACATTTTAATGGAGGAACCTTCCCAAATCAACTCACCTTAGGGAAATTTCCAAAGACCAATTTGTCAAGTAGTCGATTTTTGCCTGGTACTCAGAATAAATTCTGAGCACAGGTTACCAATGAAAATTTACTAGTGGTTGACACGTGGTGATTGCGTGAACTTGCCCTTGAGTCCCCAACGGTTGCCTGAATTAACTTGAGTCTCTGAGAAAAAATAACTTGACTTGAGTCCTTCATCGAAATATTCAACAAATTGAAACACTGCAACACCCAAGTCCCAATACTATGGGTATATAACTGCAGGGGCCATGGTACAATGTCACTAATGTTACTAATGAAGTTGGGGTCGCATAACTTATCATGTCCTCCTACCATATGAATTTTACAATGCAGTGCACAACCAACTATCCAGGAGCCAGACTTAAACACAGTTTCCAAGACTTATGTCTTATGTTCAGGCAATTTATTAGACCCAAGATGAAACTCAGGCTACACTGATGTCCTGCGATCAAACTTAACACATACATTGTATTTTTCAATGATCGGAAGGCTTCGGAAGTTGTGATTTGTCTTTAATCAATCAGAGCAGAATTTGCAACTCGACAACACAGCTGTGAGTTGGCTTTCTTAACTGAATCACAATAACTCATCTAGACTTAAATTACTCAACTAGAGTCACGATTTCAGTGACTCAACACAGACTTGGAAACAAAGAGTAATCATCAGGACCACTTGTACTCTCTAGGAGAACTTGACGTGAGAAAAAGAAAATCAGGGTAATTCAGAAAAGACACAAATTTGCCAACTCACCATAAACAGTGACCCGTGCCGTCTTGGACATGGTGGAACCCAGCTCGTTGGTGATGACACACTGGAACTTTCCCTGGTCCGTGTCCTGGATGTTGGGCAGGCTCAGCACGCTGCGGTACTGGATCAGGTTGCCTTCGCCCTGGCTAGCAAACATCTGCTCGTTGGGATTGAGCAAAACCTGTGCACAACAAAAAACGACAGCCACACTTTACACGTCTCTGGGGATTTGGAAAAGCTTCGTAACAGAAAATGTACATAACGCACGCACCTGCCAACATTTGTATGTCATCTTACTTGCTGCTGTTCGGTTTCTCCACCGATTCATTCTTGAGTGATACATGAATATGAACAGTCAGGATCTTTGGTCTTTATATATAACGGTTTGCCCGTACCCAACGTATATTAATAAGCACTGCATGCTCAGTCTTAGAACAGTGATATCACACAGATCTCAAAGGCTGATTTTTCAGTGACTTCACCTTAGGCAACTGGACAAGTGTGATGAAGCTTTGTGTACAAACAACGAATGTATTTAAAATGAAACGGCCGTTGGGTGTTTTAACTGAGACACGCGGCAGCAATGATTTCACACTTGATGCCAAGGACTACAAATCTTGATGTTCACTAATGCTTAACGCTCTTCAACATCACCATACTCCGGGCATCTACGTGCTTATTGGAGACAAGCAAACTTTGGAAACTTAACACCAATGAACAGTTGTCGGGCAGACAGTTACAGAGAAGTCATTTCATACACTTCTCCTGTGAACATTCACTCAAATAAAACCGTGTTTCATTATCTTTGTTACCTTCTTCCCTGAAATCTTGTCTCGCTAAGCTTTGCTAAAGGAAAATTATGTCTGGAAAGCAACATTTTTTCCAGAGTTGCAGGACATTTTAAACACTTCCTGCCGGGGACTCCGGAATCGGAGACGTATGGTTTATAAGCTGCTGCACGCTTATCTGGCCCCTATTGAAAAGAGGTCAGCAGTGCACTGAGCCAGGTTTATGAACAAAAGAAAGTTATATAACACCACACAATCTAGGCTCTGTTTACAAGGCTGCAGGCCTGGCTGAAATACTCGGGCATCAACTTAGAGTAGTGCCTAAAGATTACTTCGTGCGGCTATAAACGACCGTTAAATGAAATGATGAATTTTTAAAGGATTTTGAAAACTGAAAAAAATGATAGTCAGGCCGGCCCAGCATCATCAACATTGAAAAATGCCCCGGCATGAAGTGGCTAAGGCATGTGCTAATTGGTATACAGAGTCATGTAAACATTTTTAAGTTTTCCATTTTTGTCGTTTCTCCAAATACAATGAAAAAAGTTTGCAATTTCCTCGGAAAAGTATTAATTACCAAGTGCTTCAATCTTTTGTTCTAATTTTGGTTGTTTTTACACTGTTGTTTGGTGTTTACCTGTATTTATTCCAACCCAAAATCCATAGAGCCCCTTTTCATAAATACTCAATTAACATTCTCATCAAACTTATTTATGCATAATTCCAGGAATTAGGGGTCCATGTTCTTTTTCGTGTCCCTGTCACATCCAACGTATGATTTTGTAAGTTCAGAACACATTTTCTAATTTCTAAGAGTGATGAATTAGTACAAATTACCCGCCAAACAACTAGTATAGATTGAAATTAATTCCGGTGATATTTCTATGTCAAATAAGAAAGGTCAGATGTAACTGGGACACGAAAATGTCACACTTTTGGACCCCTAATTTCTGCAATTATCCCTGTACCAAATAGAAACATTGCTACCTTGACCATTTAAGCCCTTACGGTAGAATTGAAATGTAGGACTGCATGTGGCATTTCAGCACCAAATGTTCCGACCTTCGCCGGCACGATATCAACATACGGCTCTTTGATGTCGGGAGAGACTTTGAACATGTGCAGACTGCACATGCTTTGCACAGGCTAAGCACTTCAACAGAACAGTAATGAGTGTTTTCATTGCAGTAACTGGCTATATACCAGATGACACTTTAGATGGCACTGCGACCCATTATGTGCCTGATAAAGCATTCATGTTCGGTATCTCAAGGTCTCACAGATGGGACTGCAAGTAATTGAATAGATGGTATGTAGCGACGGAGAGACAATCCACTAAGCTGCGCCCCACTTTTTTTTTGACCAGTCACGTCGATGACTTAAATCCGGCACGCATGCACAAAAGTCTGGCATGGGCACACGCACATACATTTGTGACCCACAGGGCTGGCACATGCAGCATGGTACCAAAAAGAGGCACATATGAATTACTTTTACATAGGCAGAGGGGCTGGGCTGATGGGATCAGTCTATTCTCAGAGGCACCGAGAACAGAGCTCCATGATGTGAATTTATTTCACGAAATCACTGACTACAGAGCAGCCCAAGTATGGGTCTGGTGCCCTACCTCATCATCCTTCTTCCAAGTGAAGTGCATGGGAGACTCGCTGCTGCTGGTGGCCACGCACACCAAGGACACGTTGTCCCCACGAAGGGCTGCAGTGGTCTGAGGATTGCGCACTATCACTGGTTTGGAGTTATCGTCTGGATTGGAGAGAAGCAACAGAGTACATAGCACTGAGTGTTCCAAATCTTACTCAGCTGCACCATGCAAATCATTTCCAGAGTTACGCCAGGGTGAATGACCCATTAATTATTTGTGACACAACCTGACCAAAATGAGCTGCGAGTCATCGTCAGAACCCCTTCTGAGTTAGGCACACCGGAGATCAACAGGAACCCTCAACAAAGTTCACACAGATATAATCCACTTTCATCAAGATGCCCAAGCTGCGTGATGGTTACAAACAAAGAGCTCCATTTGCTTTTTCTGACGTAACCTTAAACAAAACCAATGGAAAAAAGCCTAAAAACTCGGTTTTTGAGACCTAGTCAAACTTTAGGTATTAGGTGTGCTTAGATACAATATCCTTCCACTTCTACTAATGAAAAATAATATTCACAGGTACGTTATGTTGCCATGGGCCATGTACAACAAAAAAACTTGGCTAGAACACTATAATAATCCAACTCCAGATTATTCAGACATACCTTAGAGAGAAATTGATCTCTCAATTTTAATGATCCAGAACTGGTCACATGACAGCTACTCAAAGGAATCGAGCTGACCCTTAGACCATTATGTACTAAGGTCAGGAACGTCTTTCCTGGACCACGCAGACCATACCCTTGTACCCTTTTCTTTTTCTACACGCTCTTATCCTTGTTTATCGAGGGAAGTGAGTCACAAGTCGACCCCAACTCAATTTTGAGGTTCACTTGAGCAGGGGGAGTTTCGGGAATATTATCCGGAAAAGCTTGATGTCATACAGTGCTTTGAAACAACATTATGACAAAAAACTAATATCCTGATGATGAAACATGCACTAAAATTCTTGCTTGATCATGCTGTTCAATTTAAAACTGAATTAGGCGCCAAATCTTATGCACAGCAATAGGTACAGCACAATTCAGTACATAGAAAATTGTTGTAAACGTGACCCTTTAGCTGCTTACACTGAAATATCTGGTACATGTACGGTGCACTCTTGCTGTAACTACTGCACAAACATCATGATTCTGCTATAATGGCAAATGTGCTCTTGGGCAGGACACTTTATCACAACTGCATTTTTGTGTGGGCAAGACTTAAATCGAAGTACATGTACATGCCGGGAGGGGGAGGAGGTTGAGGTTGGACCAGGGGTTGATCAAGGGATGGATCAGTCCTTACCACATATGAACAGTGAGGGCGCTACATTAAAGACATTTTTGCCACGAAGGGGAGGAGGGTGGGAACATGTTCCATCGATGGTATCTCGGTAACCAGCTGTGTCGACCCAGCCGGGGAACCAGGAAAGCTGGCAGTCACAGAACAGGGTGCTGGAGTTGATCAACCTATGGTAATTCATTAATCATTACCGGAAGAAAACAGGGGAAATTAAAATCAAAATATGTGCTCCCCCAAAATAACAACATGAAAAGTTGCCAAAAAGCCTCACTGACGCCATTTATACATTTAAAAATGGAAATCCATTCGACTGGAATATTTAAAAAATAAACCAGCATGCTTACAATTACATGATGAAAAAAGAAATGGCTGAAATGGGACAAACAATTTGTCCAAGTAGTCAACACTAAGATGCTGCTCAAATATTGTGAAAGTACAAAATCCTTAGGGAGGCATAACATATATAATCCATAAAATGCAAGTAGTTCATATTTGTCTTGAAGGATCACACCATGTTAATATGTAAGTACCAAACCCGTAACAAAATACGGTAATGTGCTTATGGAATACCCCAAAAATGTCAAGACCTTGGACTAGTGAGTGCTGAGCAGCACTTTAATCCACATTTCCATCATCCCTGATATCTGAATGCACAGAGGAAAGAGAACTAAGTCGTTGATCAACTGTGACCAGCCAAACGTTCACACAGTGTTTATTGCCCGTGACTGGGTTGTCAGCAAGATCATGCTCAAGCCAAAATACTTGTTCGTCGGCAAGGTGGAACATATCACCAGAATGACAGCTGTTGTCAACAGCAATGAACAAAAATATCTCCCCCCACACTTTCTCGTTTCTCCTTTACAAGCAGCCACATAATTCAACTGACTGGAATTTTCTCCCGAATTCAAAGTTCTAACCTTGAACTTGGCGTGGGCCACGTTTGGGTAATTTATTGCGACTTTCAACCGGTTCGCGTCGCGTAATGCCAACAGTCACCAAACAGACTCTTTAAAAATAAATGACTGACGTGCTAAGGGTAACGGCACTGAGTGTCAAGGGGAGAACTCACAGCTGGCTGAGGTGCTGCATGTGGTTGAAAGCATTGACTTGGATAGACGTGATGTTGTTGTTTCTCAGGTCCCTGTTGGTGTAAATCAGTCAGTTGCATCAATGACAGCCAATGAATGCCTATCATCCCCACACAAACTGACACAATGCATTTGTCAAAATGTCTGCTGGCAATCAGGTTACAAAAACTCAGTGAGGCATTCAACTTCTAAAACATAAAGTGCATGGAATCGGTATGCTCCAAAAACGAAGTATGACATTTCATTTCTCAAAAAATGCTTGATTGATCAATAATCATAAACTTCCACATGATTACGTCTGATGTTTAAGCAAAACCCCAACCAAAATCCAGATATCTCAACTGAGGAAGCTGACTGTTTCATGCACATCAGCAAGGTGATTTTTAGGAGTGGTGAAATGACACAGGACATGCACAGAGGGAGCCCACACAGCCCCCTATACTCACAGTTCCCTGATGCCCTCGATCCCGTCAAAGGCCCGCTTGGCAATGGAGCGAATCCTGTTGTTGGCCAGGTTGAGGTGTCGGAGAGAGATCAGCCCCTCAAAGGCCCCTGGCATGTCCTCCAGGCTCCAAGAGATGCGGTTGTTGCTCAGCTCACTGGGAGACACAAGGGGGTAAAAGCAAGCAGGGTCAGTCTCTGATGTAATGGACTCTAGATGTGACATTTGATGCTACAAAAGTTGTGCACATTCAGACAAAAATTTGTTGTGTACCTTTGTATTGACTGTCTCGGGCTACTCTAATCTGATAGACAACATTTACTGACGCCCGAGTGTTTCAGCCAGGCCTGCCACGTTGTATCCCAGATTGTGCGGTGGTATGTAATTTTCTTTTTTTTTTTATACTGGCACAGTGCGCTGCTGGCGTCTTTTCAGTAGGGGCACGATTAGTGTGCAGCGGTATTGTATGGCCCATCAGTTGAGTGCTGGAGCGCTTTTGTCCCCGGTAGTAATCCGCTTGCACTGAATACCACCAACAGTAGTATAATCTTTCAAAACAATGATGGATTTCCTCCGCTATTGACAACTGGAAAAATGTTGGCAATTCCCAGCAGCCCGGTCTTTTGTTCCGACTATGGTCTTTTGCTACAAGGCCCAGCTCTTTTGTCTGATTTCGGGCACCCCGGCTATGTGTACAAACCCAAGGTACCCGATACCAGGCACCTCGGTACCGGTCACATTGGACTGTGAACATTCACAATCCAATGTACATGGACATGTACATGTACCACTGAGCAAATGGACAATGAGTGACCTATACAAGAATAGTCACTGAATAACAGATCACAGACTCAATGTACACTGCCCCGCAAAAGATATAGCGTACCTCGGTTGTATTTTTCAGTTGCTTATTTTTCCATAAAATATCTCAGTTTGTCAATAAATTTACCAACCTGTGTCTTGTGTCATTATTCTCATCAAATAAATTCATATTTTGAAGGGTCCATGTCGGTCCTATATCTTTTGCGGGGTAGTGTACAGTGAGTGGACAGTGCATAAACAGTGACACAGATCCTGGGTAATATTTGCATTTTCACTTTAAGAGAGGCATATCAGCTAGGCCCCATCTTCTTCCTTCCCACTCAGTAATAGCTCTAGTAGTGGGACTGGTCCATACTCACAGAACTTTCAGGGCATTCAAGCCAATGAATGCCCCATCGGCCACAGTGGACACCACGTTCTGGTTGATAAAGAGGTCCAGCAGGCTTGCCAGGCCCTCAAAGCCATGGCGCTCCAGCACTTGGATGCGGTTGAAGCTCAGGTCCAGGCCTTCCAGCGCCGGGCAGAACTCCCAGCCGCCGGGGTCGGTGGCATTGATCAGGTTGCGGCTGAGCAGCAGGCGCCGCACATCGTCCAGGCCATACAGCCAGCCCTTGCTGATACTGCCGATGCGGTTGCTGTCCAACTGCAGCTCCCGCAGCCGGGTCAGGCCATAGAAGGCGCCGTCCGACAGTGCGGCGATGCGGTTGCGGCGCAGGCTCAGGAC